GAAATCAACCCAAGTGCACAAGGATGGTTTATTTAAACTCAGCACATCCGAGCCTGGGTTCTTGGTTGAAAGCAGGCAGCTTTCTGACCGACTGGCCAGCTGGCAGGCTGGGACCAACAGCCCTCACCAGGGTTGTGGCCCTGAACAGCACATTCATAGGGTTTTTATAGGGGCAGTCCACAATAGCTTGAAAAGGGGAAATTCACAATAGTCTGCAAGGTGAGGGGAAATAGCACACATTCCCTACCTATCTCGGCTGGACAGCCCATGCCTCCAGCAACTAAGGGAAGCACCCACTTAATTACTTGGAGCCACCTGTGAGATAACCAGACTTAGGTGGGCCTTGATTCATAAGAATTGGGACCCATCAGTGCTAAAGGTCACATAGGCCTTTTGGCCTGCAAGCTCATACAGTTTCTTAGTAGCAATGAGCCATGAGCAAATGCTTGGGATTTTGAAACTGAGGTTCTTCAGCCCTGCCCAGCCATTATGGACATTTGAGGAATAAACCTATGAGTGATATTGTGCTCTCTTTCTCTCTCTTAAAATAAAATAATAAATTGATATATAATTCACATGACTATTTGAAGTGTATTTTAAAATTCACAATGTTGTGTTTCCCATATCACTTTCTCATTCCAGACATTTTCACCGCAGAAGGTGACCCTACACTCATCAGCAGTCACTGCTTATGCCTCTTGTCCCGAGTCCCTAGCAACTCCTCTGTTTGTACAGATTTGCCTCTTCTGGACGTTTCAGTTTAAGATTTATTTACTTTCGTTGGAAAATCAGGTATACAGAGAGGAGAGACAGAGAGGAATATCTTCCATCCAACGATTCATTCCTCAAGCAGCCGCAGTGACCGGAGCTGCGCAGATCCGATGCCAGGAGCCTGCAGCTTCTTCTAGGTCTCCCATGTGGGTGCAGGATCCCAGGGCTTTGGGCCGTCCTCAACTGATTTCCCAAGCCACAAGCAGGGAGCTGGATGGGAAGTGGGGTTGCCAGGATTAGAACTGGTGCCCATATGGCATCCCAGTGCATGCAAGGCAAGGACTTTAGCCACTAGGCTACCGCGCCGGGCCCAGCATTCCCTGTTTGTCTTTCTGGAGCTTCATTTCTGTTTTTTCAAAAATATTTTGAGGGGCCTGGCGGCTGTGGCCTAGTGGCCAAAGTCCTCACCTTGAACGCACCGGGATCCCATATGGGCGCCGGTTCTAATTCTGGCAGCTCCACGTCCCATCCAGCTCCCTGCTTGTGGCCTGGGAAAGCAGTCAAGGACGGCCCAAAGACTTGAGACCCTGCACCCGTGTGGGATACCCAGGGGAGGTTCCTGGATCCTGGCTTTGGATTGGCATAGCATCGGCCATTGCAGTCAATTGGGGAGTGAATCATCGGATGGAAGATCTTCCTCTCTGTCTCTCCTCCTCTCTGTATATCTGACTTTTCAATAAATAAATCTTTAAAAAAATGTTTTGACATTTTTTTTTATCTGAAAGGCAGATTTACTTAATGAGGAGAGACAGGAAGAAAGATCTTCCACCCACTTTTTCACTCCCAAAATGGCCACATAATGGCTGGAGCTGAGCCAGTCTGAAGTCAGGAGCATGGAGCATCTTCTGGATCTTCCACATGGGTTATAGGGACCCAAGGACTTGAGTCATCCTCTACTGATCTCTCAGGCAAATTAGCAGGAGTTGGATTGGAAGTGGAACAACCAGGACTAAATTGGCACCCATATGAGATATAAGCATCGCAGATGGAGGCTTAACTTACTATGCCACAGCATGGGCCACGCTTCTTTTCAAAAACGCATGGTTCCCCTGGCATCTGACACTTGCCATACTTGTGTCTTGTAAACCTGAATCTTACTCAGATCATTCTAGGTTTATGTTTAAATGATAGTGCCTCAATAAGAGAGAGAAAAATTGTGCTGTATTTTTCCTCTTTTTACCTGAAAACATAATGGATGTGCATATATTAAATAGCTCCTCATAAATACCCAGGTCACATATCCAGCTGGAATTCCTCACTGAAAGTATGGGTATTTTGTACTGTTTTATTTAATCCATACATTACTGTGAGCAGAATGTTGATTTAACACAAGCTTGAGATCTGCCGAACTTAATTGTGTTTTGTCCTTCTGGTGGGGCCGTGGCAGCTTCATATTTTCACCATTAGCTATTTTAACTCTTGAAGTGCAACTTTAATGCAGTGTATATTTTACCATTTCACTAATACTGGTGTGCTCAATGCACCTGCCATTCCACTGGAACTATCTATTCCATTCATACTAATTTTTTAAAATATTAATTTATTTTTACTCAAAAGATTTACAGGGAGGAGAGAGAGAATCTTTCATCTGCTGGTTCACTCCCCAAATGGTCACAATAGCCAGAGCTGAGTCAATCTGAAACCAGGAGCCAGGAACCTCTTCTGGGTCTCCCATATAGATGCAGGGTCCCAAGGCTTTGGGACCATCCTTTGTTGCTTTCCCAGGCCACAAGCAGGGAGCTGGTTCGGAAGTGCAGCAATGAGGACATGCATGTTCCCAGAAATGCCCAGTGGATTCTTGCCTCAGCTTAGTGTAGAAATAAAAAGCCGGGAATCTGTTGCAGAGAGAAAAGTTTATTTGTGAAGGGACCAGGGGAGCAGGGAAGGGGAAAGCACCTCCAGAGAGAAAGCCAGAAGGTGGGATGCTTCTTGAAAGGGAGAGGGAGACACACCAAAGGTTTGAGGAAGGGTCTTGGAATTTTAAGCATTTCCTGACCTCTCCTTGTTGGGCAGGGAACCTACAGGCAAGATGTTCCCCATTGATGGTCTCTCAATTAGTTAGAAAATGGGTGGGCAAAGCTGGTGCTGCCCACCTGAAGATGTGGTCAAGACCTCAGCAGGCCTGGATGGTCTCAATTAATCAGTGCCCATGTAGGATGGCGTTGTTGCAGGTGGAGGATTAGGCTCAATTAGAATTGAGCTAAAGTGCTGGCTCCCATGACATTTTTTGTTATAACTCCACTGATGGGGGGTGGATAATTAGGTCCCCATTCCACTTTCAGACTGTGTATGCTGTTCTCTTAATTTATCCCTGGTGGCCCAACAATCCCAGCAGGCAAAAAATTACAAGCAACTGCTGCGGACACCACCACCTTCTGCAGCCTGGCTTGTATGAACAAGTTATCACGGCTGGAAGCCTTTTCCCCTTATTTTAAACTTATTGCCCAAGTTTACCTAGGTACTATTTCACATCCACAGCCCTGTGGGTGGTTGAGTATCAATAAACATTGCTTGCAAGAAACAAATAATTACTAACGTTACGCAAATAGCACTACTATTATTATTTGGTGCAGTCGTTAGTGCACCACTTGGGGCATCCACATTCTCTATCAGACTGCCTAGGTTCTTCAAGTCCCAGCGTCACTCCTCTTTCCTGTTTCCTGCTGATGCACACCACGGGACAGGTGCACCCCTACTATTCTGGTGATGGAGACCCTGGTTTAGTTCTGGCTCCTCCCTAAAGCCTGGCCCAGCAGTCATTGTTTGGTAGCTTCTGGGATGTGAACCAGAGAATGGAGTATCTCCATCTCTCTCCTTCAGTTACTCTGCCTTTCAAATAAATACTTTAAAAAGGGAGATGGGGTAGGGAAGGAAGAAGGCCGAAGAGTAGACTTCTGGAACATGGCAGGAGTTAACACAGCTGAAAAGCAACTCAGCTGGTAGCCATACAATCATGCTCTCTTTGGCATCTATGCCCTTAGAGAATATCAGCAAGTATTCTCTGGCTCTTGCTGGAAGATGTGAAAGAAACAGCGCGAGTCCCATCAGTTGAGTTTCTAAAACCATTTCACAACCCCACCCCCGTCCCGGCTCAGACTCCAAGGATTCAGAGGGATGTCACGGTGAGGCACTGCCACCTGCTGTTCATCTGGTAAATGTCAAGGTGAAGAACAAGACAGAAACAAATGCAAAATTCACTGGCCAGCTCCTAGGACAGGACAAGAAGCTGGTGGGAACCTCCTGGCAGTCCTCTCCGTCTTGTCACAATACCAAGATTTGTGAGAAACTACCAGAGGGAGAAAATGATGGTAATTGGAGGTAATTCAAAGAGACCTCAAGAAACAAAGCCAGAGGCTTCCGTCCCCATAGTTGGACCAAATCTTCCATTTCTGTTCATTAGTATTGGCACCTCCTGGTTCCAGCATCCTAATAAGAAAAATAGATCCGGGGTCCTGACACAATAGCATAGTGGTTAAAAGTCCTCACCTTGCATGTGCTGGGATCCCATATGGACGCTGGTTCTAATCTCAGTAGCCTTGCTTCCCATCCAGCTCCCTGCTTGTGGCCTGGGAAAGCAGTAGAGAATGATCCAGAGCCTTGGGATCCTGCACTTGCATGGGAGACCCAGAAGAAGCTCCTGGCTCTTGGTTTTGAATCAGCTCAGCATTGGCCATTGTAGCCACTTAGGGAATGAACCCTTGGATGAAGATCTTCCTGTCTCTTCTCTCTGTATATCTGCCTTTCCAATAAAAATAAATAAATTTTTAAAAAATCATAGAAAACAGAATAAATCTTTAAAGAAAGACTCAATGATTTTCAGCAGAAGATGGCTCACTGAGAATCTTACCAGAATTTCTGGTGAAGGAGGAGGATGAGACTGTGTGTGTGTGTGTGATTTTCAAGGAACTGATTAAATGAGACTTTCAGAGGGCTCTAAAACATCTGCATATTTCACAAGAATCACACATGATTCTAGGTTTTAATTGTAAGGCTAGTTTTGAGAAAATAATTTTAACATTCATTTTGTGTCAGATTACATAAACAATAAAATTAACATTCATGTATTTCCTTATATTAAAAGATACCTAAATACAATACGGTTTTAGAAGGGAAATCACATGTAGTTCAAAAAGACAAGTATGCTACATCAGAAGCTATACAACAGTGAGAAGGAAAAATTAACAGCAAAACCAAGTACAAATAAGAATATTTCTCTGAATTGGCATGTTTCATCGAGCATCAAAAACCATCCATCTTTTTGTTGTCTTCTTGTACGCCATTCTATACCGATATTCTGTGCTTCTGATTGTATCCTTGTACTTTATCTCATTTTCAGTGTGACATTCCCCACAAATATAAATCAAAGGCTGCTGCTTGGGAGGCTGAACATCCTTCTGGGGGTCCATTGTTAGTCCCTGTGGAGCACAGTCGAGACTTTCATTTTTTTTTTTAAGACTTTTTTTTTTTTTTAATTGGGAAAGAGAAGAGACAGAGAGAAAGATTTTTGTCTGGTGATTCACTCCCCAAGCGTCCACAACGGCTGAAGCTGAGCCAATCCGAAGCCAGGAGCACTTCTGAGTCTCCCATGCAGGTGCAGGGTCCCAAGGCTTTGGGCCGTCCTTGTCTGCTTTCCCAGGCCACAAGCAGGGAGCTGGATGGGAAGCAGGGCTGCCAAATTAGAACCAGCACCCATATGGGATCCCAGCAAATGCAAGACAAGGACTCTAGCCGCTAGGCTAAGGAAAAGGATCCTTTGTCCATTGGTTCACTCTCCCAGTAGCTGCAGTGGCTGGAACTGAGCCAACCTGAAGCCAGGTGCTTCTTCTGTGTCTCCCACACAGGTGCAGGGTCCCAAGGTTTTGAGCCGTCCTCAACTGCTTTCTCAGGCCACAAGCAAGGAGCTGATGGGAGATGGAGCAGCCAGGACACCAATCAATGCACATATGGCATCCAAGCTCTTGGAGGTGGAGTATTAACCAGTTGAGCTGATAAGAAATCCTAAGTGGGCCTCTGGAGCTCCCCACTCTATTCATACCCCAAGTTCTGCTCGACCTCATAGGTACTCGGCCACATCCTGAAACAGGGATTGTTCTAACTTGTGAATTTCAAATCAGGGTAGGGACATCCATAAAATGAAATATGTTCTGGTTGCCAAACAGCCAAGTTAAAAAAAATAATAAAATCAGCGTTACTATCTGAAACATTCCTAACATTGATGTTATTTAAACTTGGGAGGTCTTGTTTCATCCCTGCCCCCACAACTGAAGTTCTCCACTTTGACCCCTAGTATAAGGCTTACATGGTATCAGAAAGAGCCTAGCACACAGCTGAGTGCTTCAATCCATGCTTGTTGGGTGTTGGTCCCATTTTTCCAGGTAGATTCTGACCCACAGAATGTAGTTTCAGAGGGGATTGACTTGAAAATAGTCAATTTGTGTTGCTGTTATGATGAAATTAGGCCTGATGCCAAAGCCACATGACCTTTGTTCACATGGCTGAGGGAAAGTTAACCCGAGTTGTGTACAACTCCCTCTGTTTTGGATTTTCTAGGGCAAAGTCTATACTCTGCTAGTCAGACAACTCCCAGGAATTCTTCCCTAGACATGTGGCAAGTTGTATTTACCAGTGGATAAATTTGTAGGATTCATGTCATTATGGCAAACCGTCATTTGTTCCACTCATGTATAAGATCTTATGAATACATCATTCCAGATTTCTACCAAGCAGAAGGACTGCTGAAAGACAAGCATTTATAATCAAATGTTCACAGAATTTCTACTATGGATTCAGCCCAAACACAAATTGGAAAGGCAGATATATAGATAGGAGGAAAAACAGAGAGGAAGATATTCCATCTGATGATTCACTGCCCAAGTGGCTGCAACAGCCAGAGCTGAGCCTATCGGAAGCCAGGAGCCTGTTCCAGGTCTCCCATGTGGGTGCAGGGTCCCAAAGCTTTGGTCCATCCTTGACTGCTTTCCCAGGCCACAAGCAGGAAGCTGGATGGGAAACAGAGATGCCACTGGGATTAGAACCAGCACCCATATGGGATCCCAGCATGTGCAGGGAGAGGACTTTAGCCGCTAGGAAGCATTATAGAACAATATAGTGATATTTCCATGCCATCATATAGCTGGCAAATATTTTTATTTTGCTTATTTTATGGTCTCCAGAATGGGTGCTCCATAAGAGGACGGACTTCTTGAGGTCGTTGCTGCTTCCTCAGTACTTGGCAAGTAACTGGAACTCAGTAAATATTTGTTGAGTGTATGAATGAGGAGTCTAGTCCTTTGCATAGACAGGCTTCCTGGAGTGTGCTCCAAGCTGAGCCATGACTACACTTTTCATTCAGCTTGCTTTACATCCATCTACAGATTTTAGCAAAGAAACCAGAAGAAAAAAACATGAATGTAATTGAAAAAAGACAGGAGTGAGATAAAAAGAATTAAAATTGGCTTTTAGGTCCTGTGACCTTAGTTCATTTCTAAAAAGAGAGATTTGTTTCTGAATCAATAAATTCCATTATCTTCAAAGAAAAAACCCAATAAAAGATAAATAAAAGATAAAAGTAGGGCTGCTGTGTTTGACCTTGGAGTGGCTTGGGAGAGGAGGTTGGGAGATGTGTTTGTTCCTGCACCCTAACTATGGGTCTATAGTTTCTCAGATTCTAAAGGTATAATTTGAAAATATTGAATAACTTCTCCCCCACTCCGCAAATTCTCCTGATGGAGGCAGATAAGGGAGGCCCTGGTTTTCTTCTGGTTTCTGCCATTTTAAGCTGAGGGAGTCCCAAGAAAAGGCCGAGGGTGGGAGGCTGCAAGAACTACCTGACTCATCTGACTAGGTCTCCAACCAGGTTTACTGCCCTCCTTGAGTCCCTGGAAGCTTAGAAGCCAGTCAAGCTCAGCGAGCAACTTGTCCAGGGCTCAGAGTTGCTAAGGACTTTAAACAAGAGAAACACCCAGCCTGGTCCCAGGCCAAATGGACCAAAGTTCTGATTCATCACCAGACTCCTCCCTTTTCTGCAGCTGGTCTGTCGGCTTGAGGTGACAAGAGGCAAACAGGTCCAGCAAGAAGCGCACGAACTCTAAAGAAAGGACTTTAAAGACTGAGGCGTGATTAAATCTAGAGGACCACTCAAAAGACAGCATTCAGGCACAGCCAAAAACTTTATCGCCACCAGGCTGGAAGGAACAAGCAAAGTTGTCATCACTCAACAGTGGGTGTTTGGTGGACTGTGTGAAAAAAAAATACCACTTCCACGTTACAAGAGGGAAGGAACAGGCTGCCAAGTCATTATAGGCACTCGCAGGAGCCAGTTAAACCACCAGTCCCACCTTTCAGACCAGTCACTGACAATCATGTAGAAACTACAACTCCCGGCATGCATCTCTCCGCGAGTTTCCTTACACCCCAGGTCCCTTCCCCCGCCCCCCCAAAACTTTTCCAGGCTGGGCTAGAGGAACTTCCGGAAAAAACTGCTCGTCCGGCCCTGCAGTCCCGCCACTTGGGGCTAGCCGCTTGCCATAGTGCGCTCATTGGTGCCCAGGTCACCGCCCCCTCGCCCTCGCTCCACGTTGGTGTCTCACGCACGTACAGGCGACGCCTGCCCACGCCCCCAGCCTGGGCCTAGGACGCAGGCGCGCGCACGCTCCCCGGGCCCGGTAGGCGGGGGAGGGAGGGGAGGAGGGAGGGGAGGAGGAGAGGGGGAAGGGAGGAAGAGTAGGTGTCTTTCGGGTGAGACGGTGGTGGAGCATCAAGTGCGCGAGGCTGCCAGGAGGGTGAACTCTACACCGACTCTAGGACCGGAGAGGGGGCGGCTCGGCACCGGGGAAGGGCACGCGGCGAGTAGGAGTCGGGCCGCTGAGCCCCGGCCTAGGCCCCGCGATGTCCAGCTGCGGCGCTTGTACTTGCGGCGCGGTGGCGGCCCGGCTCTTCACCTCCTCGCTCGCCTCGGCGCAGAGAGGTAACCAAGCAGTCCTCCCCGCGCCTGACCCCTTCGGCCCTGGCGGGAGTGAAGCGGCCGACGACGTGAGGGCTGGGGGCGCGACCCCGGGGAGGGCACGAGGCCTGCACCCCTTCCCAGGAGTTGTGAGGGGATGCATGGCGCTTCGTCCGGCACCCTTCTCCTTCGCCCCGGCCGCGACTGGAGAGGCTGTCGGATTTGAAGGCAGAGCCCTGGTGCTGGTTCGGCCGCACACTGACTTTTAGGAACCTGAGGCCACTTGGCAGAAACCTTTCAAGGTGCAAAATGCGACTTTTAAGAAGATTCCTCTTTTCCCCCTTCCCCAGACAGCACTCCGGGAGCCTGGTCCAGGGGCTCCCTGGGGCTGTCACTTTAGGGCCTGGTGGTGGGTGCCCGTCCAGCTGGCCAGTTCTGGTGCTGGCCGCCTGGAGCACCAGGTGTCACTGTCATTGTGAGACACCCCTCGACGTGGAGACCTAAAAGCAGGGTAGGGGGTGCGCAGGATGCCGGCGCCAGGAGAGGCTCGGGGCGCGCCGGACAGCCGCCCGGGACCTTGGGGAAACGCTGGCAGGGATTGTTGTCGAAGCTGTTAGGGCTGTCAACAGTCCGCTAGTTCGTTGGCGTTCCCAACTTGGCATCGAAGACCGTTTTCTTCCTGAGAGGTGGCGCGTGTTTACCGTTCCTCTCTGTTTATCAGGAACTGTGAAAGAGTGGCACTGCAGCCAAGAGATTCCGGAAAAGAAAGCCATTTCTTTTTTCCCTACTCTCTTTCCCCAAACCTAGGAGTTGTTAGGCTGTGAGGCAAAATCCTGTTAGAATCCACCAGCTTGTTGACAAATGTGTTTTTCGGGGGGGGCATGGGGGGTGTACCAGTTTAGGACCGCTGAATTCTAATTTTTAGGTTACTTACTAATCCTTGTCGGTTACTAGATGTATATGCTACCAGTTTGTGTTGACCACACAGGAAGGATTAAAGAGAGTAGATAAATGTAAGGGAGAATGTAAGTGAGTGAGTGAAACCTCGTTGAACTTCAACAAGTAGCAGTACCAGTTTCGGAAAGGTGATCTGCAAAGCCTTGAAGATGACCTGTTTAGTCTATGTATTTGGTATTTATTTGGTGAGGGGTACAAGTGGTGAATACTAACCCTGATGTTTAAGTTCAGTGGTGTAGACAGTGCCCTAGAGGTGGACCAAGTGTGTGTGTGATCTCTTTGGCAAGCAGATGTTCTTCGAGAAAGTTCTTTCTTGCCAAGAGTCCCTGAAAGCTGCATGTGTGAGTCATACGGATAAGCAATTTTTTTCCTTTCAAGCCACCATTGTTTTAAAATTTAAATGTAGCTACACAAATGAATGCCTTATTTAACAGTTACTACTTACTTATTTATTAAATCATTTGTCGGCCAGTTTGCTGGAGATTTTCAGAAATACAGAACCATTGCTTTTCCTATAAAGGAATCAACTAAGCTTCAAATATGACAATTTTCAGTATCATTCTGTAATTACCTTTTTACATTACAATGAAACAGCTAAGTTTTGTACTCAGCACTTTCCTAAGCCTTATTTATGTAAGTGTTTTCTACATGGAAGACTAATGTTACTTGAGCCTACAAGAAGATAAGGATTTAAAGAATGTTAGGGGGGTTGTTTTTAAGATACTTGGGGAGAGGAAGGAGAAAAGTCAAAATTGAAGATTGGCTAGTTTATTATTTTTGCAAACAGTAGAGTTAAGAATCCCATCAAAATATGTATGATCTAGCAAGAAGTTGTGGGGAAGGTGTACAGTTATGAACAGAGGGGAAATTTTCACTGTTCTGAAATACAGTGCTAGTTTTTAAAACTGTTATTCCTCAAGATTTTAAATATGTATTTGAAAGTTATTTTGTCATGCTGATTCTGGCTCTGTGTTCCTTCTGATCAATTGTAAATTCAATTTAATTTTCCTCACTGTTTTCTTTGGCCACGAAACCTACAGTAAAACAGACATTAAAAATGTCCTTTTTCTTCTAACCACATTGCTACTGTTCTCCACCCACTAGTTTACTCCCCAAATACTAGAGTAGGGCCAAGCAGGGAGCCAGGATCCCAGCCCAGGTCTCCTGTGTGGGCAGCAGGGCACTAGCTACTGTAGCCATGACCAGCAGGGTCCTTTCTCATCAGCGGGAAGCTTGTTCTGAGGTGGAAGTCAACTCCAACCACTTCAAAATGGGATTCAGGTATCTTAGGCCACAGCTTAGCATTGGCCAAATACACACTCCTGCTGCATATTTTTAAATGTATTTTGCATATATGAAGTTACTGAATGATAGTACTTGGTCTGAATTTGGCTGGAAGTTTTTAACTCCCTTATTCTCTCGCTGCCTTCAGTTATTGTGTATTCCAATGGTGTCACCTCATAAAGGAAGATGGAAAGATGCGCGGACATGTTGGCACCCATAATTACCACAGCATTATGTAATGTGCTTACCTTAACAGTTTTCAGCTAGATTTTACTTTTTTTTTTTTTTCCCAAAGATGCATTTATTTCAGGGGGAGGTTTAATGGCTCAATTGCTTAATCATCCACCTGCAGGCACTGGGATCCCAGAAGGGCACTGGTTTGTGTCCCAGATGCTCCACTTCCCATCCAGCTCTCTGCTTGTGGCCTGGGAAAGCAGTAGAGGATGGTCTAAAGCCTTAGGACCATGTATTTTTGTTGAAGATTGAAGAAGCTCCTGGCTTCAGATCGGCTCAGCTTTGGCCATTGTGGCCGTTTGTGGAGTGAACCAGTGGATAGAAGATTTTTCTCTTTGTATCTCCTCTCTGTAAATCTGCCTTTCCAAGAAAAATACAGCTTAAACATGAAAGGCAGCGTGATACAAATCTTCATCATTCAGTGATTCACTCTAAATGTTGCAGCAGCTGAAAGCTTGGCCAGCCTGAAGCCAGGGGGCAGGAGCTCCATTTGGGTCTCATGGTGGCAGGAGACCAAAGACTTGAGCCACCATCCAGTACCTTTTAAAGAAAGAAAAGATTTTTTTTTTTATGGGAAAGGCATATTTACAGAGAAAGTAAAGTTGAAAAAGATCTTCCATCCTCTGGGCCACTCTCCCAAACCCACTGTGGCCTGAACTGAGCTGATCTAAAGCCAGAATCAGGAGCTTCTTCCTGGTCTCCCACATGGGTGCAGGGTCCCAAGGCTTTAGGCAATCCTTCACTGATCTCCCAGGCCACTAGAAGAGAGCAGAATCGGAAGTGGAGCAGCTGAGACACGAACCAGTGCCTGTATGGGATGCTGGCACTTGCAGGTGGAGGATTAGCTAGGTGAGCTATTGTGCTGGTCTTGATCCACTGCTTTCTTAGCCTTGTTAACAAGAAGCTGAGTTGGAAGCAGGGCAGTTGGGACTGAAATCAGCACTCGAATAGATGTGGGATGTGGGATGCCAGTGTTGTTGGCAGCAGATTAGCTGATTTACTACATTCTGGCCCCTTTAGTTGCATTTTAATTCTCCCTCTTTTTGATGGTCAGATATAGCATAAATTAAATAAGGCAAAGTAAATAAGCAATGAATCATTTTTATTTGCAGAACATTTCTTAATCAGCATTTCACTTTTCCTGACATGTTCCTCTTCAGACAAGCAGACTAGTCTTAATAAATGCTCATCAAACATTTTAAAACATTTTTGGAATGATGTTGCTTTCATTAAGAAGTATTCAGAATTCATGAAGCCCTTGAAATTACATTTAAAGATCAATAAAAGTAATATCTATTGGGGTACTGGTGTTATTGGTGAGGTTTTGGCAGTTTTTTTTTTCCCCCAATTTGTCAGGTGCTTAAGTGAGCCTTTAATTTGAGTAGCTGATTCATCACTTAAATATTGTCACTGCATTTGATAATGGTTTTAAATTTTTTCCAATAATTTCATTATACTCCTAAAATATAGGTTGGCTTATCTGTTAAGTTGAATCAGTTGTACATGTATACAACATTCTTGGAAGATACTTAGTTCAAGATTGGGTATAGAAAGTTAAATATAGTTAAGTAATTTTCCTGTTCTTAGCCCTAAAATATACTTATTCTAATATTTCTAAGAGCTTTTTGAACCCAGTAGTTACAGATGTTGTCCTAACATAACCAAAGAGATAAACAGGAATGAACTGTCAGGTGGTTATTCTCATTGATAGAGGTAGCATAAGACAAATAATAGGACATAAATAACCTTTTTCAGAACCTTACAGGTGAACAGGTGTTAAACTCCTCAAACTTTGAGAGAACCACACATTGTTATGATGTATTCCAAAGGATAGAAAGAATTTTTTTTTAAGTCATATCTAAAGAGGAAAGGAGACACAGAGGGAAAGATCTTCCATCTATTGGTTTATTCCCCCAAATGGCCACAATGGCCAGAGCTGAGCTGATCTGAAACCAGGAGTTCCATCTGGGTCCCATACATGGGTGTAGGGTCCCAAGGCTTTCTGCCATCTTTTAGTGCTTTTTCAAGCCACAGGCAGGGAGGTAGATGGGGAGTAGAGCAACCGGGACATGAACCAGTGCTCATATAGGATGCCAGCACCCAAAAGTGGAGGATTAACCTGTGGCACTGGCCCCAAGAAATAAATACCTTTAATTATGTAGAATCTTCCAGAGGTTTGGGCTCGGCTTGCTTTTGAGAGGACTTTGCCTCTGATGCTTGCCACTATTTTCTCAGCTAGTTTATGTTACTGCTGTGAAAACTGGCTGTCTTCACCCTCCTGTGTGCTAAAGTTTTGTCTCCAGAGGAATTTTTGACCTGTGTTAATATTTTATGTGTAGGCTGATAGATTTTGCTTTGTTTGCAGGCATTTCTTGCGGTCGCATTCATGTGCCAGTTTTAGGAAGGCTTGGGACCTTTGAGACTCAGATCCTGCGCAGGGCCCCTCTTAGGACCTTCTCTGAAACACCCACGTACTTTGCCTCGAAAGATGGGACAAATAAAGATGGCTCTGGAGATGGAAACAAGGTAAGGCTTTTCACTGGTACTTACATGTGTTAGAGTTCCCTGCTGTGAGCAGTTAAATGAGGTATTGTGTTTATGTTTTTGTAGGAAGTATGAGATGTATAAAATGATCTGAAGAATAGAACAACTTTATTTTATATTTCAGTTTGAACCATAAAATGCTTTTATAAGCATTGCACTTGGTAAGCCCTAATTAAGATTCCCAAAGTAGTAGAGAACTGCCAAAAAATCTAGGTTGTCAGTCAATAAACTTGAGTTAGGAATAGTTATCATTTTCTGCTTTCATACAACTCAGGATAAACTATTTCCTTCTTTAAAAATCTTGGATTTCTGTTACTGCTTTGTGTTGAGCTGCACTCTAGGTGGCAAGTATATGATTGGTAACTATGTTGGGGGTCGATGAATTGTCAATTTTTTGCATTATGAGAATTTAATTGATGCTTGAGTTAATATTATAAGAGACAAAAGGGTAGGAACTTCTATATCCATACATTGTTCTAACAACAACTCTGATGTAGGTGAAATTATTCCTGATTTAGAGAGAAAAAATTTAGTTACAAAACTGTTAAAGAGTTATTACCTGCCACGATAATAACTCCTAATTTAATTTCACCGAAATTAAATGCATGTTTTTTGGTTTTTGTTTTTTTTTTTTACTTAAAATAACTTTTTTCGTAGTACTCAATGAGCCATTGAAAGCAAGCTGTTTATTCCACATGGTGGCATATATCTTGTAAGGGACTACAGACAAATACAACTGTATGTAAGAATTGACGAAAGAATTGATTTGACTTTTGTGGTAAATACGTCTTGATGCTGTTGATAGTAGAGATGTAAACTGCACTAATTTCATTCTAAAAATCATTAAAATTGTAAAAGTACAAATTACATAGTTTACATTTAAGTTACAAATAAAATGGCTGTTTAAATTGACACTTTTTTTTTTTTCTTCTTCCACAAACGTTAGAAATCGGTCAGTGAGGGAAGCAGTAAAAAATCAAGCTCTGGGAATTCTGGGAAAGGCGGCAACCAGCTGCGCTGTCCTAAATGTGGAGACTTGTGCACACATGTGGAGACCTTCGTGTGTAAGTGTTACTTCTAGAGTTCTTCTCTTTTCTACAAATGTTTAGATGTATAGAAATATGTATTATAAAAGTCAGAGGTGGTCTTCCTGAGCATACATGATTCCTGTCAAGTGTTCATTAGAAATTGAAAGATCCAAAAACACAAAAAATTAAAAAAAAAAAAAGAAGAAAAAAGAAATTGAAAGTTCCTAGGACTGATAATACTTTTACACTATGGTGTAAGACATAATTTAAGAAAAAATTTTGCTTCCTTGTCTTTGCTTATATGCTTTCTTTCAAATTTGGATTTTTTTGAGTTTTTAAAATTATTTGGAAGGCAGAGAAAGAGAGAAGGAATCTTCAAAAGTTCATACAGCTTATTTTTTTTATAGATTTATTTATTTTCATTACAAAGTCATATATACAGAGAGGAGGCGTGATAGAGAGGAAGATCCTCCGTCCGATGATTCACTCCCCAAGTGAGCGCAACGGCCGGCGCTGTGCCAGTCCGAAGCCAGGAGCCAGGAACTTCTACCAGGTCTCCCACACAGGTGCAGAGTCCCAAAGCATTGGGCCGTCCTCAACTGTTTTCCCAGGCCACAAGCAGGGGGCTGGATGGGAAGTGGAGCTGCCGGGATTAGAACTGGCACCCATATGGGATCCCGGGTGTTCAAGGCGAGGACTTTAGCCGCTAGGCCACAGCGCCAGGCCCATATCCATGAACTTTAGAAAAACCCTTGTGTGAGTGAGGGGATTGGCATTGAATTCTTTGCTCCTGGCTAACCTCCTACTTCCTAACCATAGCTGGCATTTGGAGAGGGAATCAGTGGATTGGAGTTATCTCTCTGCAAAATTAAAATAATAGTTTTCTATGAATTTCTTAGAGACCCCTCCTCACTTTTAAAATATTTATCTTTATTTTTAATTTTTTAAAGATTTATTTTTATTTTCATTACAAAGTCAGATATACAGAGAAGAGGAAAGACAGAGAGGAAGATCATTCATCCAATGATTTAACCCCAAGTGAGCGCCACAGCTGGTGCTGTGCTGATCTGAAGGCAGGAGCCAGGAGCCTCTTCCAGGTCTCCCATGAGGGTGCAGGGTCCCAAGGCTCTGCTAAATGGTATGCTGGTGCGTGAACGTGGAGAATTAGCCAGTTGCACTGGCTCCACAAGCATGTATTTTATGTAAAGTGATGCAGAAGACTAACAGTAACTTTTTTTTTTTAAAGATTTATTTATTTTTATTGGAAAGGCAGCTTGAAGGAGACAGAGGGAAAGATCTTTCATCTATTGGTTCATGAGCCTATCCAAAGCCATTGCACTGGCTCCACAAGCATGTATTTTATGTAAAGTGATGCAGAAGACTAACAGTAACTTTTTTTTTTTAAAGATTTATTTATTTTTATTGGAAAGGCAGCTTGAAGGAGACAGAGGGAAAGATCTTTCATCTATTGGTTCATGAGCCTATCCAAAGCCAGGAGCCAGGAGCTTCTCTGGGTCTCTTATGTGGGTGCAGGGTTCCAAGGCTTTGGGGCGTTCTCTGTTGCTTTTCTCAGGCCACAAGCAGGAAGCTGAATGGGAAGAAGAGCATCTGGGACACTGGTGCCCAATCCCAGTGTGTGCAAGGAGAGGATTTAGCCAATTGAGCTATTGCATCGGGCCCTACAGTTAACCTTTTTTTTTTTAAAGAGGCTTGCTTATCCTGGTAGTATAAGAAAATTAAATTTTTCCTTTGGTTTTTGAGAGTGAAAAAAATATATTACAATGCTTTTGTGTTTGGTGCCACCCAGACCCTGTCTAGAACAACATTTGTTAGAATCTATTTTCTTGAACTTGAATATATACTGGACGTGTCAGCATGAAATTGTATTGCAAATATAGTGTGAAATAGGCAAATTTAATCAGCCCTTCAGTAGTAAGCAAAGAGGGATGTGATATGTTAGTGTTTAATCTCTTTTCCTTTGACCTAATTTCCTAAGGGAAATATTTTGTTCTTGTGTTCTCAAGCTGGATTTTCCTGTCATACAGCCCAGACTGGATCGGAGAGGCTTCTCTGCTCTTTAATCCTTGCCCTGTTAAACTGGTGCCTCAGTTTAAAATAAACTGTGTTTCTCATTGAAGGGAAAGAATGATTATATATTTGGATATTTGTTAATTGCAGGTTTTTGGAATAGCTTGGTCTTTAGGTAAGCATTTATAGGTGATCAGTAAATAAAAGAAGTGATGGGCTTCTCTTGGAGCTTAAATTTTTGCTATTAGAGTTTACCCAGATAGCATTTTTAATTGGTCTTGTGCTCATCAACTTAGATATTAGACTAATTGTGTTACTGATGAAATTTACTTTTTGATGTGGAATTGTCTTTTTCTTGTTTTCTATTTAGATTGTTTTTGGAAGATGTAGGTTTATGTTCTAGCCTTTCTGGTAATCTGTGAATAGATGTATTTGTAATTTTCCCAAAAAGAAATTCTTATTTTTATATATATTATTTTTCTCTGAAGTTCTGTTTATCTAATTATTTTATACATAAATAATATAAAAATGTATTACTTGATCATCCAGCTTTGTATCTGCTGATTATGTTTCTATGAAATGCTCTATCCTGCTGCTTTCTTAGGTCTCTGGCTACTACTAGTAAGGTTAAGTTTGAGAAAGTTAAAAGGATTTATCCATGCCCATATTCTTCAGCCCCATTAAAAGGAAGAGAGGTGAAAGGGGAAAACAATCATCTTAACATAAGATACTCTGTAATTGATGCTTTAGAATTGAGAAACTGCTCCTGTCTTCACTTTTAACTGGCCTTTTGTTACTTTCTTGAAATTAATTAATTAATTTGAAGGACAGAGTTAGAGGGAGAAGCAGAGAGGTCTTTCTGCTAGTTTTTTTTCCACATGGCCACAACAGCCAGGGTTGAGCCCAGACCAATGCCAAGAACCAAGAAGTCTGCCCAGATCTCCTGTATGGGTGCGGAGGTCCAAGCACTGGTGGTGGATTAACCGTTTGGATCGCAGTATTAACTCCTTCTTGTGTTACTTTTTTAAGACTTATTTATTTTTATTGGAAAATGAGATTTGCAGAGAGAATGAAAAACAAAAAGATCTGTCTGTCGGTTCACTCCCCAAGTGGCCTTCAACGGCCAAAATTGAACTGATCCGAAGCCAGGAGCCAGGAGCTTCTTCTGAGTCTCCCTCGTGGGTACAGCGTCCCAAGGCTTTTGGCCTTCCTCTACTGCTTGCTGGGCTACAAGCAGGAAGCTGGAAGGCAAGTCGAGCAGCTGGAATACTCACCGGAGTCCATATGGTGCATGCAAGGCGACGACTTTAGCCACAGGGCTACCCCTAATGGCCCCTTGTGTTACTTTTATGCATGTTTATGAATTCGATGTCTGAGAATGGTATTTTGTTGGTTATTAGGCACATTAGTAGGAAGTTGAATTGGAAGCAGAATAGCCAGGACTTGATCCTAGGCACTTTGTTACACAGTGCTGGCATTTCAACCCACCACCTAATATCCGCCACTAAAGTAGATCTATCTTTCAGCTTTTGTATATGTTTGAAATTTTTAATGATAAAATATTGGAAAAATAGATTAATGTGCTTACAATCTGCTTTTCCATGTAGTTAGAATAAGACAGTGTTTTATTCAGTATTTTCAAAGTGGATTTTTTTTTTTAAGATTTATTTATTTATTGGAAAGTCAGATATACAGAGAGGAGGAGAGACAGAGAGGAAGATTTTCCATCCGATGATTCACTCCCCAAGTGAGCACAACGGCCAGTGCTGTGCCGGTCCGAAGCCAGGATCCAGGAACCTGTTCCGGGTATCCCACACAGGTGCAGGGTCCCAAGTCTTTGGGCCGTCCTCAACTGCTTTCCCAGGCCACAAGCAGGGAGCTGGATGGGAAGTGGAGCTGCCAGGATTAGAATCGGCACCCATATGGGATCCCGGTGCGTTCAGGGCGAGGACTTTAGCCACTAGGCCACAGCCGCTGGGCCCTCAAAGTGGATTTTGTTTTATTTTTACTAATTTATTTGAAAGCTAGAGTGGTAGAAAGGAAGAGACAGCTTTCATCCATTGGTTCATTCCTAAAATGGTCATAAAAGCAAGTGCTGGACCCGGTTGAAGCCAGGAGTCTGAAACCCTAGCCTGGTCTCTCACGTGCATGGCAGGGGTCTAAGTACTTGGGGCATCTTCCACTGCCTTTCCAGGTGCATTAGCAGGGGGCTGGATCTTAAGCGGATTGAACTGATACTTTGATATAGGATGCTGGTGTTGCAAGTGACAGATTAACTTGCTGCACCACAAAGCCAACGTTTTCTCATAGTGGCCTTTAGAGAAGAAAACCAAAAGAATCTCAAGTATTCTCTTAATGAAGTATATGATGAAATGAAAGAATATCATGGAAATTAACTAAAGGTAGTTACTGAACTCATCTAAAGTTACTGGACACCCTCTACCTTTGTAAAAAGTTGACATGAATGAGGCTTCTTGTGTGGCTCTTGTTTTGTTCAGTGCATAGCTTTCTTTCCTTTACTGTGAGCCTTAAACACTATTGGAATTATTTATTAATATTCCCTACTCTCTTCTGTTTTCTTTTACAGCATCCACCCGTTTTGTCAAGTGTGAAAAATGTCATCATTTTTTTGTTGTGCTATCTGAAGCTGACTCAAAGAAAAGCATAATCAAAGAGCCGGAATCAGCAGCAGAAGCTGTTAAATTGGCATTCCAACAGAAACCACCTCCTCCTCCCAAGAAGGTATTCAGCTTAGCTCAGTGTTATAAGCATTTCATGTTGAACATATGTGTTAACATTCCGCTAGTTTATACTGAATCCCAATACTAGTATCTAAACAAGTTTTTTAGGTGCCAGTATGCATTGTAGGTGGCTAGATAGCTATTGATATTGCTTTTTGAATGTATTTAAGAAAGGAGTCTATTGCTTTTTCCTCTGTCATCACTATTATATTAACTTTGAAATATAGTTGTATAATTATTAAATTAGTGTAAATGTCAAGTTAATCTGAAATAATATCCTTCAATAGAGCAACTTTTGATTTATTTGTGTTTATTTGGGTCCCTAAATAGTACTGGTCTGAAGTGATGTCCTTTAAATGTGTCTGTGGTAAAGCAGCTGTAAACAAGTAATTTTCTCACAGACAACAGTGTGCCAGGACTGCCCTGTACAGACTGGCTTTTGTAGTGTGGTCTGTTTGGCAGAATCCCAGGCAGAGTATGATTTGATCCTGTGAAACACAGCTGAGGGTGCTATCGGCTGCACTGGATTCATGGGTGGTACTTTTTGAGAACTAGGAGCCCTTGTCTTTTTACTCTTAGATTTTTTTATTTTTTATTTTATTTGAAAAGTAGGGAGACAGGGAGGATAGGGAAGACAAAATGATCTTCCATCCCTTAGTTCACTCCCCGATTATCCGCAACAGCTAGGTCTGAGCCAGGCTAAAGATTAGATCCAGGAACTTAACCTGAGTCTCCCACTTGAGGGGCAGGGACTGAATACTTGAGTCATCATCTGCTGATTCCCAGGATACACATTAACAGGAAGTTGGATTGGAAGCAAGGTGGCTATGGCACCAGCCAGACATTCCACATGCTAACTGCCATGCCACATTCCATCCTTGTGTCTCAGAATTGTGAACATTTGTGTTATTTATCACCCTCAGTGTATCTTTCTTAGGCTGTGTTTAGATATTGTTGCACTTGTGTCTATTTCCAAATGTACTGTAGCAGATTTTAAAAATCAAGGGTATAATATGTGAGGACTTAAGAAGATTTAAAAGACTTATACATTAAAAGACTATGTGTTATATATTCAACAATAAAAGAATCTCATATAGAAATAAATTGTAAGGGCCAATGCAGTGATGTAGCAGGTTACTTTGTCCTGAGGCACCAGTATCCCATATGGGCATGGTTTGTGCCATGGTTACTCTGCTTTTGCCCCAGCTCTGCTCTGGCCTGGAAAAGCAGGAAAGAGTGAACCAAGTCTTTGGGACCCTGTAACCATGAGGGAGACCCAAAAGAAGCTCCTGCTACCAGATTTGGATCAGCTCAGCACAGCTGCAGCCACTGTGGCCATTTGGGGAGTGAACCAGAGGATGGGAGACTTGGCTCTGTCTCTCCTCTCTGTTACTCTGCGTTTCAAATAAAAAATAAAATAAGCCTTTAAAAAAAGAAATTATAGAAAATAGAGCTGTAAGCTGTGTATATCCTTAATTTGTGTAGATGTTAGACATCTGAGTCAGTGTTCTGGAAAAATAGAAAGTTTGTTAAGTATACATATATAATATATACATATATATTATATACATTTAATTTTTGAGAATCAGTTCTCTATTGATTGATACCCAAACGCCTACAGTGGGCAGGGCGGGGACAAGGGCTGCATAGGTAGAAAGCCAGGAGCTGGGAACTCAATCCAGGTCTCCCAGAGTGACGGCAGGGACACAACTTTTTGCAGCATCATCAGCTGCCTCCCAAAACCAAGTTAACAGGGAGTTTGGAATCAGAAATGAACTGGGCCTTGAGCTCAGGCTGTCTGATATGGAATATAGACATCTTAACTGGTGTTTTAACCACTATGCCAAATTATTAGTGAGTGATTTTTATTCACTAAAATTTTAAGAAATTTACCTTAGGTTCTAGTTGTTGGCAATACCCCAGTGTAGAACAGAGCTTGATTTTCAATTAAGAATGTTAAGAACATTGTGGTTCTGTGGGTGAAGCCACCACTGCATTCCTCATCAGAGCACCAGTTTGAGCTCTGGCTGCTCCTAGCTGCTCTGCTTCCCATCCAGCTTGTTGCTAACATACCTGGAAAGGCATCTGTGATGGCCTATCTTTGCAGCCCTGCTTTTCAAATAAATTAAAAAAAATTAGCTTGCCAGGTTGATAAAATGTGAGTAGTTTAAAGTTGGTATCTATGAAAAAGATGCTTTGTATTAAGACACAGATAGTGGTATACTATCTTTTGGTTATATAAAAATGGTTTCTGAATGGGGTAGCTTTATAATATACTATCTGTGTAAAGAGTTCATATTTTATTAAAGTGGCTTTTTGTTTTTTAAGTACTTGGGGCATCTGCTGCTTTCCTAGGCACTTTTAGCAGGGAGTTGGAACAGCAATGCAGCAGCCAAGACCCAAACTGTTATTTTTGGGATACAGGAGCCACAGGTGGCAGCTTAATCTGTGCCCTCTTACTGATCTGTGTAAGTGACTTTAATGTTGTGCTGTTTTTAAAATTTAGGATTGAGGCAAATTTTTATCTAGCAGTTAAATGCTAATTAAGACATCCATGTCCTATACTAGAGTACATGGGTTCAATACATAGCTCTGGCTTTTGAATCAAGTTACCTTCTAATAGATTGCCTCTAATAGGAAGCATTGGTGATGGCTCAAGTAATTAAGATTCTGCCACTTGTGAGAGACTTGGGATTTAGTTCCTGGCCCCCAGGTTAGCCTGGCCATAGTGAATATTTAGTAAATGATTGGAGTCTCTGTTATGTCTTTCTACTTCTCAAATTAAAGCAAACAAACAAACAAAAAACAAACCCAAATAGTTAGAATCAATCACATTGTTTATATAGAAACTGGGATAACATTGGTGGAAAGCTGGAGAACAAATGAATTGTGGTTTTGTGCATTTAAGAAATAGGCATCTGAATCCTACATGCCAATACATCATGCCTTTTGTATTTTGGTTTTTTAAGTGGAAGTCTTTGTTCAAATTTAAGGCAGGAGAGGGTGTTTACCCTGATGGTTATGGTACTTGTGTCCCATATCAGAGTACCTGGGTTCAGTTTCCTGGCTCTGGTTCAGCTTCTTGCTAAATGATGACCCTGAGAGATAGTGATGATGGCTCAAGTAATTGGGTTCCTGCCATTCACTTAAGAGACAGAGATTGTATTCCTGGCTCCAGTTCAGCCTTGGACATAGAGGCATTTAGGGAGTGAACTAGTGGATGGCAGCTTTCTCTTTTCTCTGCTTTTGGGATACATTTAAAAAAGAATTGGGTGGAGAAGGGCGGTGTAATTCAATGGCTAAATCCTTACCTTGTAAGCACCAGGATCTCATATGGACTTCAGTTCATCTCCTGGCCGCTTTACTTCCCATCTTGCTCCCTGCTTGTAGCCTGGGAAAGCAGTAGAGGATGACCTTGGGACGCCTTAGGACCTTGCACCCACGTGGGAGATGCAGAAGAAGTTCCTGGCTCCTAACTTCAGATAGGCTCAGCTCTGGCTGTTGTGGCCACTTGGGGAGTGAAACAGTGGATGGAACATCTTTCTCTCTCTCCTCCTATCTGTAAATCTGATCTGCCTTTTCAATACAAATAAAAAAAAATTTTTTTTAAGATTTGTTTATTTAAAAGGTAGAGTGACAGAAACAGGGAGATATAGAGCGAGAGAGTTCTTCTGTGTATTGCTCACTTCCATAAATGGCCATAACAGCTGGGGTTGGGCCTGGCCAAAGCTAGAGTTCATCTATGTCTCCCACATGGGTGGCAGAGACCCAAGTACTTGGGCCATCATCCACTACTTTTCTAGATGTGATAACAGGAAGCTGGGTCAGAATCAGCAGTCAGGACTTAAATTGGCACTTCAATATGGGATGCAGGTGTCCCAAGAAGTGACTTAATCTGTTGCATCACAACACCTGCTCCTAAATAACAATTAAAAAAAAAAACTTTAAGCAAATATTCCCATTACATAACTTTTTATTGAAACATGTGTCTTTATTGTGGCTCATGGCAAATTATTCACACCTAATCATTTTCCAGATTTATAACTACCTCGACAAGTATGTTGTTGGTCAGTCTTTTGCAAAGAAGGTGCTTTCAGTTGCTGTGTATAATCATTACAAGAGGATATATAATAATATCCCAGCCAATCTGAGACAGCAGGCGGAGGTTGAGAAGCAGACATCCTTAACACCTAGAGGTTAGTGTTTCCAATACGGATCACAATAGAGATTTCCATGCCTAGAAGTTGTCTTTGTAACTCTTTGCTCTAATTTTAAGATTTTTTTTTTTCAAAGTACAGGTTGATTCCCATTAGTGGATAATGAAATCATTTCAGTAGGTTCTCCATTGTAGAATTTTTATTTTCTTTTTTAGGTTAATAGATGAATAGAAAATACTGGACTACAATAACTTGTAGTTAAGATTTGTTTCTGAAAATTATACATGGATCTCAAGTCATAAAAATAAAATGTGTTTCTTATTGAGGGTCTCTAAAAAATATTTAAAAGCCAGTGGGTAGAGACTAAGACACTATCTTTGAATTGTAGACTTCACCACAACTAGTTCCCTTGAGCATAGCATTGTAATAATCTAAATGACTCTGAGGTCTTGTCTTTCGGGTTCAGTATATGGAATTTTATTTGCCTAATTTAAGAAATAAGTGGAGGGCCCAGTGTGATGGCTCAGTGGCTAAATACTCGCCTTGCACACACTGGAATCCCATGTGGGTGCAGGCTTGTGTCCCAGCTGTTCCATTTCCCTTCCAGCTCTCTACTTGTGGCCTAGGAAAGTAATAGAGGATGACCTAATTCCCTGGGACCCTGCACCCCTGTGGGAGACCCTAAGAAAGCTCACTGCTCCTGGCTACAGGATGATCAGCTCCAGCCATTGCATCCACTTGGGGAGTGAACCAGCAGATGAAAGATCTTTCTCCTCTATCTCTCCTTCTCTCTGTAAATTTGCCTTTCTAATAAATCTTAAAAAAAAAAAGATAAGTGAAGATGATAACTGTTAATATGTATACAGCATATTTCACCTTCTTTTTTTTTTTTGGACCCCAGCTCCAGAGTGCAAATTTAGGATAAAATTGTGATTCTAATTAAAATTTTAAATGATTAATTTAAAGTGCTATCTTTTTATTGATGATAGTTTTTTTTTTTAATTTATTTATTCTAATTGTAAGTCAGAGTTATAAGAGTAAGAGTAAGAGGGAGAGATAGAGACCTCTTCCATCTGCTGGTTCACTCCCCAAAATGGCTGCAGTGGCCAGAGGTGACCTAGTCCAAAACTGGAAGCCAAGAGCTTCTTCTGGGTCTTTAGGAGGATGCAGGGGCCCACGGTTTTGGGCCATCCTGTGTTGCTTTTCCAGGGCAGGGAGCTGGATGGGAAGTAGAACAACTGGGATTAGAACTGATGCTCATATGGGATGTTGTTACCACAGGCAGAGGACTGGTGTGCTATAACACTGTGCCAGCCCCTACCGATAGGCTTTAATACACCAATATACTATGTAATCTCAAATTACGTAGATACATTATCTGTTTGAAGATTTTATTAAAACATTATGAGAGCCTGGTGCAATAGTCCTGAATGGCCTGAGATTCCATATGGGCGCCGGTTCTGATCTCGGCAGCTCCATTTCCCATCCAGCTTCCCTGCTTGTGACCTGGGAAAGCAGTCGAGGACGGCCCAAAGCCTTGGGACCCTGCACCTGCGTGGGAAACCTAGAGGATGTTCCTGGCTCCTGGCTTCGGATCAGAGCAGCACCGGCCGTTGCAGCTGCTTGGGGAGTGAATCATCGGATGGAAGATCTTCCTCTTTGTCTTTCCTCCCCTCTGTATATCTGCTTTTCCAATAAAATAATAAATAAATCTTTTAAAAATATGAATAGAATAAAACATAATTTTGAAAATTATTTTGCTATGTCTTGCCAGAGAACACTAATTTCTGATATATTCAATGTTTTAGATTCTTATGGTCATCATTGTACAATCTGAGGACGTTCTTCATAATTACAACCTATAGTCTCATCTGAGTACCTTTAGTAGCTGCTAAATATATAACTGAATTTAAAAAATATTTATTTATTTGAAAGGCAGAGTTAGATTGAAGAAAGAAGGGAGGAGGGAGAGGAAAAGAGAGATATCCTGTATCCATTAGTTCACTCTCCAGATAATCTCAGTGGCAGGAGCTGGACTAATCCTGATGCCAGGAGTCAGGGGCTTCTTCCTGATCTCCCATGTGAGTGCAGGGACCCAAGCGCTTGATCCAACCGCTGCTATTTTCTCCTACGCAATAGAAAGGTGCTGGATTAGAAGTGGAGTAGCTGGAACCATTAGCTGGAACTAGAACTGGTATCCACATGGGATGCTGGCAGTGCAGCTGGCAGCTTTACTCTCTGTGCCATAGTGCCAGACCCTGGAACTAATTTCAGTACAGAAATCTGTTAACTTGCTGAATGTACTGCAAAGAAATTATGTGGTAATATCAGTTATTTTATTTTTAGAAAGCTTAAGGCATAACTGGTGGGAGACTTGTATTGTTCTTTTTCGTAAGGCCCAAATAGTCCTGCCTAGTTAGGCAACAAAATTTTTTCTGTTTTTTTCGGTCATTAATATGTAAACTGTTCTAGGTGGTAGGAGAACAAGTGGGTATGTTATTTGTTAATGTGAGGGATTTTATCTCTTACTAAAGACTTATATAATTGTGCTCTTAAAATAGGTATCAATTTTTATTTGAAAATGTGAATATTAGCAACTGGATAATAATCATTAATACTAAAGAGTGAATCCTTTAGATTTATTTGGAAGAGTACTAGGGAGTGGAATACTCATTGTTTTACCAAGCTGAACAAATAGGTAATATTTTCTTGTTGCCGTTTTCATCCTTTCTCAGAGTTAGAAATCCGAAGACGGGAGGATGAATACAGATTTACAAGTAAGTGGCCTTGCCTCAGTTTCTCCTGTAATTGTTCTTTTAGGGATTTACCTCAATGAAGTGTCTCAGTAATAGTAATGTCAGCATGTTAGTGAGAAACATCCAAGTGATTTTATTATAGATATCATAATTTTGAAGGCTTTTCATAATTTGTATAGTTTGTGTATGTTCAGTTATTTCAGGTATTTAAGATTTGATTTTATCTTTTCTGTTATGACACTTTTTTTAAAAAAAGACTTATTTGTCTTTGGGCCTGGCAAGTTGGCTCAATGGCTAAATCCTCACCTTGCATGCACCGGGAACCTGTATGGGCACCGGTCTGTATCCCAGCTGCTCCACTTACCATCCAGCTTCCTATTTAAGGCCTAGGAAAGCAGTACAGGATGGCCTAAAGTCTTGGGACCCTGCACACATGTGAGAGACCTGGAAGAGGCTCCTGGCTTCAGATGGGCTCAGCTCCGGCTGTTGGCGGCCATTTGGGGAGTGAACCAGTGGACGGAAGATCTTTCCTTCTCTCCTTCTCTCTGTAAATCTGTTGTTTCAACAAAAACAAAATCTTTTTTTTCTTAAGTTTATTTTTATTGGAAAGGCAGATGTGCAATGAAAAGGTGATAACAAAGAAAGATCTTCCACATCTTCCACATATATGCTCTACCATTCCAGGTGCATTAGCAGGGAGCTGGATTGGAAGTGGAGCAGCCAGAACTTGAACCAGTATACATGTGGAATGCTGGCACTGTAAGCAGTGGCTTAGCTTGATGTGCCATGGTGCTCATCTGGTGATACTTCTTAAAGCAAAACTTAGGAAATACAAAACACTTTATATAGCTTTTCTTTATAAATATGGACATATGATCAAGAATCATGTTTTTAAATATCTGTAATTTATGAGGCTTGGCACAGTGATATAGCAAGTTGAGCCTCTGCCTTCAGTGCCGGCATCCCATATGGGCACTGGTTTAATTCTTGGCTGTTCTACCTCCCATCCAGCTCCCTGTTAGCCTACCGGGGAAGGCTTTGGATAATGACCCATGTACCTGGGCTCTGTACCCATATGGGAGACCAGGAAAAAGCTCCAGGCTCCTGGTTTTGACCTGGCACAGGCCTAACCAATGTAACCATTTGGGGAATGATCCATTGGATGGAAGATCTCTCATTGTTTGTCTCTCCTTCTCTCTGTCTTTAGCTTTGTTTTTCAAATACATAAGTAAATATTTGTAAAAATTTACTATTTTACATATTTTTTGTCAGACTACAACCAGTTGGCTTATTGTGATAGGAACTTACATGGAGATGGATTATGTTCTAACTATTCTTTGCTACAAATTATTCTCTTTTTTGGTGTTTATAAAACACTGTAGTCTTACAAATTATGAATTAGCTCTCGTTCATTGTTCCAGCCCTGGATTGCCCCTGTAAGCATCAGGTGGTTCCTGGAGGGTTTGGAATGATCTAATACATCAAAGAAGAATAACCATTCTGGTGGCTTACACCTATTCCTCTAGAGGTGAATCTAGAAAAGATTTATTTATTTTCATGGCAGAGCCAGAGAGAGAGAGGAAGAAAGACAGAGATATCCTCAGATGGCTGCAATGGCTGAGACTGGTCCTGGCAGGAGTCAGGAGATTTTTCTAGGTCTCCGACATGTATGCAGGGGCCCAAGTACCTGAGCCACATCCCATTGCTTTTCCAGGCACATTAGCAGAGTGGATTAGAAATGGGGTAGACAGGATTTGAACTGTTTACCCGTATGGCAGCATTGCAGGCAGTGGCTTAATTTAGTGTGCCACAGCACTAGCCCCCAGTGTTTGGTTTTAGATGTAGGATTTCATTGAGGTGCTTTTAGAAACGAATTCCATTGATTCTCTGGTAATTGTTTTGGCCTTATTTCAGAATTGCTGCAGATTGCTGGAATCAGCCCACATGGTAATGCTTTGGGAGCATCAATGCAGCAACAGGTGAATCAACAAATACCTCAGGAAAAACGAGGAGGTGAAGTATTGGATTCTTCTCATGATGACATAAAGCTTGAAAAAAGTAACATTCTGCTGCTTGGACCAACTGGGTCAGGTAAATAGCTTCTTGCAAACATTTATGACTGATTTTAAGCAATAGACTGATTCTATGACCTCTTTCTTGTGATTGAGGAATTCTGAGTTATCAGTCTTTATGATTTTATTTATTTATTTTTAGATGATATTTACAAAGTTGATCATGGTGGGAAGTATCTAGGATTAGGGACAATTGGGTATGATCACTGTTTCCAAACTTTCTATTTCTTCTTCCCATTTCTGGGGGAAGGAGGGAGATGAGGGAATAGGCCCTCTCCAGCCTCTCCACTATCCCCTGGGGCCCGGCACGGTAGTGTAGTAGTTAAAGTCCTCACCTTGCACGCCCGGGATCCCATATGGTTGCCGGTTCTAATCCCAGCAGCCCTGCTTCCCATCCAGCTCCCTGCTTGTGGCCTGGGAAAGCAGTTGAGGATGGCCCAGAGCCTTGGGACCCTGCACCCATGCAGGAGATCTGGAAGAAGCTCCTGGCTTCTGGCTTCGGATTGGCTCAGCTCCAGCGGTTGCAAACCATCAGATGGGAGTGAACCATCAGATGGGAGATCTTATTCTCTGTCTCTCCTCCTGTCTGTATATCTGCCTTTCCAATAAAAATAAACAAATCTTTAAAAGAAAAGCAACCTGGTATCAACCCAGGGTCACAATGTGGCGCATGCTCCGAGGGTTCTGCCCAGGTGAGTGTGATAGTTCCAAAGTGCTGTGTATCTCGTCATTCTGTGGATGAGGAATTCCTTCCAGTGTCCGCTAACTGCCTACATATTTGCTGGCATCATTTGACTGGGGTAGGTAGTAGTAGTCTATATATTCTATTCTTCATTCTCTGCTATGGTACCAGATGTCCTCTGCAGACCCCAGTGAGCTACCACATCCTCTATGTACACCATGGTCTGCCATCCAATACTCCATCCTTTATACTGAGGAGGACCAGTTCTCATAGGTGGGCTCATGGACCTGGGCCAGAAAACCCAGGCCCCACAAGAACACCCACACCTAGGGCTCATGGCTCTGGCACCCTCAATGCAGGCAAACCCAAGGCCCTGAGCCATGTGACCCAGAACCTGCCAAACCCTCCACCCCTGGGGTTCATGGGTATCTCCACCCACTAAGCAGGCGGGCCCAAGGCCCTGGACCATGCAACTCAGAACCCACCGGATCCCCCACCCCTGGGCTTGTGGACCCGGCACTCACCATGCAGGTGGACCCAGTGACCTGGGTCAAGAGACCCAGTCCTCTCTAGACGCCCCCACCCCTGGGGCTCACAGATCCGGTACCTACCTTAGAGGTGGGTTGCGAATTCCTGACCATATGACCCAGGCCCCGCCAAAATATCTACTCCTAGGGCTCACATACTTGACACTCACCATGTGAGTTGGCCCCAGGACCTGGACCAGCTAATCCAGGTCCCACCAGACCCCCAACTCTTGGGGCTCATGGACCCAGCATATGAGCAGAAGGGCCCCTTCATACTTGGAGCTCACAGACCTGGCACCCACCTCCCCCAGACTGGCATGGTTCATCTCACTTCGGCTTCCACCAATGGGTGCTTCAACCCTCTGTCCTGGCCCCAATGTGAACTGACTGGTGATGCGGCCCAACCCAGTCCCTCCTGCACTTCATCCTGATTCTCAAATCTGCCAGTAGATGTTATAAACTGGCCCAGCCTGGCCTGCCTCCGGACATGATCCATATGTATGTCGGTGAGAACTGTAACCTGGCCTTGTTTGTTCTGTTCCTTGCCTTGGTTCTTGCACTTACCTGCAGGGACTGCAACCTGACAAAGGAATTCACCAAACTCCTCTATCTGGTCTCCTCCCAATGGCAGATCTTTAGCATACTGATGGGTCCTTGGCCCAGGTTGACTTTGTCCACCTCTTATTCTGGCTGGAACAGTGTCCTTGCCCAACTGGCTCATACATACTCTTTCCAGTTCTTACTGTTGAGTGTTGCAGCCCAGCTACACCTGGTCCATGCCCAAACACAGTTCTCAAGTTGTTCAGCGGGAGCCTTGACCTAGCCCAGCCTGTTCTACACCTACCCTGACTCTCACGAGTACCAGTGGTTGCTGGAGTCTAGCCCAGTCTGGCGCACTCTAGACCCAGTCCACACCCATGCCAAGGGAGATTGCAGTCATGTCCAGCCTAGCACAATGCCCCAATTCTGACTCTCGTGCTCACGAGTAGGAATTCCAGCCCAGCCGGGGCATCCCATTAGTTCCCCAGCCATAGAGTTTGCAGTTCCACTTTGGTGAGCCCACATACTTCCCCACAGATTCTACTCCCAGACCTGATTCACTCATGTAACCTCACAGTATCTGTCTCCTTTTCTGACACTCTCTGGTGGGTTCCATGTTCTCACCCTTCATGTAGAGTAGCCTTGTCCATGGAAGCCCCAGAGAAGTCATTCCTCCCAGAGAAGTCTTTCCTCACATTTCCTACCTGTGCCATCCCCCAGACTCCAAGTAACTCCACACCCCCAAGTCCCCAGAGTGCACTACTGGGAGAGCTGAGGGCTATGCCCAGCACCATTGGCACATGGACTGCCTGGCTGAGTTCTCCCAGCTGCAGCCAGCCAGACTTGGGATCCACCCACAGCATGATGGCAGTGGGTGGAGCTGAGATCCTGAGCATGCCCAGACCCACTTAAGATCTGCCCACAGCATGATGGCCATGGATGGATCCCAAGCCTCCAGCCTGGCTTGGCCAGAGTTCCCCAGCTGTAACTACACAGTTGGGAGAGTAAACACTCATGCCTCCAGCCCAGACTTACTTGGGATCCACCCACAGCCTTGGGTTAGTCTTCTTGAGTCCATAATCAGGATTCCTGAACAACATGCTAAACAAGAGGCCTGGGCATGGCCCTCAGGCCAATTCCTAACATCTTCACAGGAATAATAAATAATATGCAGTGGGCACAGAATAACAGTGGAAATGAGATGTCACTTTCAACAGCTTTCCATTAAATACGGTTCAAATGTATTTTGTATTTTTGTAGAAAAATTATGTACCAGTAGATTTTTAATAAACTTTTAGTTACTATTTATTTTTGTAGGTAAAACCCTGCTGGCACAAACTCTAGCTAAATGCCTTGATGTTCCTTTTGCCATCTGTGACTGTACAACTTTGACTCAGGCTGGATATGTAGGTGAAGACATTGAATCTGTGATCGCCAAACTCCTCCAAGATGCCAATTATAATGTAGAAAAAGCACAACAAGGTATGTTTATAGCATAGTTTTTCTGTCCCCAGATAGTGTTTTTGGGAAGCAGTGTAAAATTAGGAGATAATTTCTTATTTTAAGTCAGTAACTAAAATTTTTATGATTTAGAAGTTAATATTGCATAGCTTTTAGCAACTGATTATAAAGACCACAAAGTTTGGTTTGCTTTGCTGTTACCAAGATGCCTAGTAGGTTGCAGACAGGGTAATGTTAGGTTGCAGACAGGTCAAGGTAGTAGTATATCCTTAGTCTCATCGTTAGATCAGACTCCTGCTGTTGGGATCAGGGCAGAGGTAGTGTCAGGGGCAAAGGCAGGAAAGTGCAGGATGCATCTAGAAACAGTTTAACCTATTGATCATACATGCTACATTTCTCCTTTCTGTTTTCTGTCCTTATTGACATGAAGAGCTTGACAGCATCTGCTGAAATTCCTTTCAGATAAGAATATAGGTGGGGAAAGGGTGAGCTAACAGTTTGCTCATGGTTTTCTCATGGTTCCACACTCTCAATTTCCCATTATAAAGACCATAAATACATAGTAGGAAGATGATTATTGTCAAAGACATTTAGTTATTGTACTCAAATAGTAGCCTGTTTAATCCCAAATAGTTGCACAAAATAGTAGAGGATGATAAAATAGTAGAGATGATAAAGTAGTAGAGAGATGGCAGTGCATTTTTATCATGAGAAGCCATTGAGTATGTTAAGGATAAAAGATTGAGTAACTTGCTCTCCAACTGTTTAGTCTTTTAAAACTGAGACTATTTTGTGTGTATTTTTTTATGTTAAGTGGAATCTTCTTTGAATTATAGGAATTGTCTTTCTGGATGAAGTAGATAAGATTGGCAGTGTGCCAGGCATTCATCAGTTACGGGATGTAGGTGGAGAAGGCGTTCAGCAAGTAAGCAGTTGAATATTTTGTTCAAGCCCACTAAAAGGAAGGGAACACATCAACCTCCCAAATATTGTACGTTTGGTTTCACGTTCGATTAGATTCTATTGTGTTTCTCTCTCCCACCCCAAACTCCACATATCACTTTCGGTAGTTCAGATCCAGACCTGAAAGAAAGTTGTTGTTGATGATTTTAAGTACCAAATTTTTTTTTCTTGGGAAATTAAACATATTTTGAAGAACTGAAAAGACAGAAGTTTGTTATTTTTATTCCTCAAAGGCTTAGTGGAAAGAACCATTTCTAGAAGACACTTGATGAGATTTCTAAACTATTTCCATGTTTCCTATTCCTTTTACTTAGTAGAAGATAGTTTTATATATGAAGTGGTGTTTAATTTCTCTGAATCATAATTGAGATCATGGTGATTTATTGGCTCCTTTGACCTTTTAATGTTAACTGGTTATGTGAGTGAGGGAAATTGCAGGTTTTTTGCTTTTTTTTTTTTTGACACAGATATAGGTAAAATCACAGTGATTATGCTAGATACTTTTAAAAAAAATATATGTAACAGTATCTCAAAATACAGGTATCCTCAAAGTTTAGCACTAGGAGTGAATAAAATTTCTATTTATTTGAAAGGCAGTTTTTCAACTATTTTCTAATTTAAGTTTCCCACCATGATTTGGAAGGAACTGTTTTATAGTCCAGGTTCTGTCTTTATGTCAATGTTATGTCTTTATCATCAAGAACAACCTCTTAGGTTGATGGTTCTTCAGTTATAATGCATCAGGAGTCGTGTAGCCATTTTGAATGAATTATTCATGTGATGTGCACATTATAGATTTCCATGTTAGCTGTAAAAGTGAGGAGTTTTCATTACTTATGCTCATTGACCATAAACATTAATTTTCCCTATCAAATCCCATTATATAAAATATAATAAAGGATATACTTACATGGTGATGGTATAAATCATTTGTTCTTTATTTAGGGCTTACTAAAACTACTAGAGGGCACAATAGTCAATGTTCCAGAAAAGAATTCCCGAAAGCTGCGTGGAGAAACAGTACAAGTTGATACAACAAACATCCTGTTTGTTGCATCTGGCGCTTTCAATGGTTTAGACAGAATTATCAGCAGGAGGAAAAATGAAAAGGTAAGTTTTCCTGAGGAGTTTCTAGAGGAACTGATAGCATTTAAAGTTAAAATATGTACTTGGTTTTTAACCTGTCTGTCGGTTATAAGGGATTTTTAGAAATTGGATTTTCTTAGCTTTTAAAATTTATGACTAGCACATTGAAGATTCCTAAATATCATCTCTATTGAGCATTTTGTTTTTTAATTTTTACTCACTTTTTTGAAAGGCAGAGTGCCATAGGAGATTTTCCAAACTCCTATTCCTCTCCCAAAGGGCCATAATGGCTGAAATGAGGAGTCCAGAATTCCTCCCAGGTCTCCCATGTGGATTGCAGTGACCCAAGAACATGAGCAGTCTTCTGGTGCCTTTCAAGGTACATTAGCAGGGAGCTGGATTGGAAGCTAAGAGCAGGCAGTTGAACCTGACTCCAGTATGGAATACCAGTGTTACAAGTGGCAGTCCAGCCTGTTGTACCAAAGTGCCATCTACCTCTATTGTTTATAAAATCTAAATAATTCTAACTTACAGGTTAATGTGTATAGCTCTTAATGGTAATTATAATAGAGTGCTTAATAGCGACTTAAGAGATTTGTTGATAATTATTTAAAATGCTTATTGTATAGGTACTACTCTAGTTTATAATATTGCAAAATTAGCTTTAGTTACAAAAGGCTACGATATACATTTTCTTAAATTTTTTTAAAGACCTATTTTTTCTTATTGGAATGTGAGATATACAGAGAGGAGAAGAAACAGAGAGGAAGATCTCCCATCTGATGATTCACTCCCTAAGCAGATAGAAGACTCTCCATATATACAACTCCAGCTTTCAAATAAAAAATTTAAATGAAAAAATTTATTATTTGAGAGTTGGTTATTTAATAAAGATTAGGTTCTCAGTTATGAAAACAGACAGATCTGAATTCAAATCCTGGGTTTAGGGCAGACATTGTGGTGCAGAGTGTGTCACTGCCAATGACAGTGGTATCCCTTAGGAGTGCTGGTTCAAGTCCCAGCTGTTCCACTTGCAGTGCAGCTCCCTGCTTAATACACCTGGGAAAACAGTGAAAGATGGCTCAAGTGCTTGGGCCCCTGCTACTCACTTGAGTGACCTTGATGGAGTTCCATTCCAGGCTGTTTGCTTTGGTTTGGCCCAACCCTGGCCATTGTGACCATTTGGGTATTAAACCAGCAGATGGGATCTAACTACCTCTATCTCTTTCTCCCTCCCCCTTTTTCTCTCCCTTTTCCTGGCTCTCCCTCTTTGTAACACCACTTTTCAATTAATAAATCTCTAAAGAAAAAAAATTTGTCAGCTTCAACATTTATAGTAACAAGACCTTGGACAAGTTATTTATTTGGTCTGTTTTTCCTTTGTGTGAATGATAATAGAACCTTCCTTGTAGAATTGTTGCAAAGATCATGTGAGATAGGCATCTTGATCCATATTAATAATATGTATAATTTCTTTGACAGTATCTTGGATTTGGAACACCATCTAACCTAGGAAAAGGCAGAAGAGCTGCAGCTGCTGCAGACCTTGCTAATCGAAGTGGGGAGTCAAATACTCACCAAGACATTGAAGAAAAAGACCGGCTCTTACGACATGTGGAAGCCAGGGATCTCATTGAATTTGGCATGATTCCTGAGTTTGTGGGACGCTTGCCTGTGGTGGTTCCTTTACACAGCCTAGATGAGAAAACACTTGTACAAATACTAACCGAGCCACGGAATGCTGTTATCCCTCAGTATCAGGCTCTATTCAGCATGGATAAGGTCAGATTTTAATTTTTCATCAATCTGATTTTCTTGCTATTGAAATTCTGTACAAACTGTTGCAGCAGATTAAAAATAAATCCTGCTCATCTGTGATAATCAGCCTATTCCTTACTGAATGTTGAATCTAAAAATGAAGGAAGATACATTGCTACATTAGATCTGTCATAGTTGGCCTCCTTTAAAAAAAATTAAAATCATCATTGTCGAATAAATCTCAAGGATATAGAAAGAAATGTCTTCAAGTCAGACACGTGGGATTGTTCTTTTGTCCTTGATATAATGAATATATTCTAAATTACATTACTGTATAAACTTTCATAGGAGCTTTTCTCAGAAATCTAGGGAAGAACTTGAATTTGACTTGAAGATATCATGGGGTCCGGCATTGTGGTAAAAGCTGCTATCTGCAACGTTAGCATCTGATATGGGTTCTTATTTGTGTCCCAGCTGCTCCACTTTAATTCAGGTCCCTGGTAGTGTGCCTGTGAAAAGCAGTGAAGGTCAGGCCATGTGTTAGGACCTCTGCTACCCACATGGGAGACCCTGATGAAGCTCCTGGCCTTGGCCTGCCTAAACCCTGTCGGGTACAGAGACGTCTGGGAAGTAAACCAGTGGATGAAAATCTCTTTCTGTGTGTGTTTCTGTAATTCTGACTTCTCAGTAAGTGAAGTCTTCAAAAAATATGTATTGTGAGGCCAGCATTGTGATGCTTGGGTTGTTGGACTGCTGCTTATGACATCATTATCCACTATCAGAGCATAAGTTTGAGTCCCAGCTGCTCTGATTTCCATCCAGCTTCCTGGTGATGGGAAGGCAGGGGAGATGGCAGCCCAAGAGCTTGAGCCCCTGACAACATGTGGAAGATAGGGTGGAGTTTCTGGCTGTGGCTGGGCCCAGACCTGGCTATTGCAGCCATGGGAGTAGTGAATCAGCAGATGGAAAATGTTTGTCTCTCTTCTCTCTGATTCTCTTACAAATAACTTAATAAGGAAAAATAAACACCATAATCATGAGCTTTTCAAAGACCTCACACATACCTTTGTTATATAAAGTTTTACTTTGTTTTTAAAGTTTTACTTTGTTCTGAAAGGCAAAATGACAGGCAGAGAGAGATCTTGCATCTGCTTGTTCACTCCCCAAATGGCCTTAATGGCTGGGGTTAGCAACTGTATCCATGTTTCCCAACTGGCTGGCAGGAACCAAGCAGGCCATCTGCTGCTTTCCCAGGCACGCTAGAGAGTAGTTGGGTTAGAAGCAGTGGCTAAGACATGCTTTGACACAGAATGGATTTTTGAACTCTCTGAAAATAGCAGTCTCTTTTTGACTAACTCAAAGTTAAGCCCTTTTGTCATTTTTGCCTTTGATCCATGTTTGGATCAATTGTTTTCTACTCTGCTCCCAAGTGGATCGTATTTTCATTGAGCTCATTGCCCACCAAATATGTTTTTAAATATTTATTTTACTAGTTGGGCTAATAGTTTTACTCGCTTGCTTCAGATTCTTCAGTGGCCCCGTAGTCTGCGGTGCTTCCTTAGCACCATGTGCATTCAATGGTCTATAAATGTTAGAAGGGCCTGGTGCAAAAGCCTAGTGGCTAGAATCCTCACCTTGCACACACTGGGATCCCATATGGATGCTGATTCGTGTCCCAGCTGCTCCACTTTCCATCCAGCTCCCTGCTTGTAGCCTGAGAAAGCAGTAGAGAATTGTTCAAGGTCTTGGGACCCTGCACCCACATGGGAGACCCTGCGGAAGCTCTTGGCTCCTGGTTTCGGATCAGCTCAGCTCAGCCATTGTAGCCACATGTAGCTTCTGACTTTGAATTAATTTAGTTAACCTTCTGGAACTTGGCTATCTGTGAAGTAAGGGCTTTAGTTTCGTTTGGTTCTAAAATACTGTGATTCTAAGATTAACAAAAGTGGCAGGTAGTGACAGTTAATAGAACAAATGCTGTGTAATTAGGAAATGTTACAATAATTATTTAAATTCTGATTTATCTTTCATGTGTTTTTAGTGTGAACTCAATGTTACTGAGGATGCTTTGAAAGCCATAGCCAGATTGGCACTAGAACGAAAAACAGGTGCACGAGGCCTTCGGTCCATAATGGTAAGTCAAGTTATGCTACAAAAAAGATAGTTTCTCCCGGAGTCCAGCTCCAGCCAAGTTCGGAGCTCGGGAAGGGTGCATGGAGTCGGCGATAAAGAAAGACACAGACACTGTCACTTCATGCGCTCTCGCTGCAGCTCAAGAAGAAGCTGTCCTTTTTATTTACTCAGACACATTGCAAGCCTCTACACAAACAACTAATTGTTCTATTTTTACTTCAAGACTAAGGGGGCATGTACAGACATTTGGTCATTCCGTCTGCACTTCAGGGCTAAGCAGGTGACCCTAAAGATCATTCTGCAAAATACTGTCTCATTATTCTTCAAAGCAAGCCATTATTCATTCTTCAGTAGTAGCCATGGAGCGACAGCCAGGACTCTAAGGCCAAGGCACATGTGATTACCTGTTAATCAGTATTACATTCCTACCACATTTCTATTTCTACAATTTACCCATTATTTAAAGGAAAAATAGGTTACAAGGGAAAAAACATAAAATCCAAGACAGAAGTTTCAAATATTAAATCCCCCTACAACTATAGGCTCTACAACCCCATAAACAATAAAACAATAAGAGCATATTTCCTTAATAAAAGCATCCTTAATTCCTCTAGCTAAAAATTATAAAAGCAGCTAAAACAATTACATTTTCTATGCTCCAAAAAAATTGCAAAGACAGACTAGCCTTTGAGATAACAATAACTATATTTATTGCCATAGCAGTTTCAGCTCTCACTCCCATCATTTGCATTAATATTTAGGATATATATCAAGCCCTTTCCCAGAAGGTGTGCTACATGTCTGGGCCAGATTCTGAGGCAATGGCAAAATTACACAATAAGGTATCCAGAAATGGCATGGGCTTAATTGTGCTCCTGTGTGTAAATTGTCAAAGGCCCACTCACCAAGACATTATCAGTGACATTAACTCTCAAGCTCACATCGGTTACAAAAACTGTCTCACAGGGGCAAACAACAATGCCTCAATAGATTACAGAATTCTTAGTCAGGTGCTTGAGTGTCCATGCAACCAAGGGGTGAAACAGCATCAAGGTGGTCAGAGAGACTTCCGCCAGGCCTTGCCTAACAGCTGGAAGCTCCCCTGGGCCCTGCCAAACAGGGAGCTGTTCTCTTCACACCTTCGTGTCATCCACACCTACTGCACAGACCCCAGCAGTTTCTTGGTCTGAGTTTTGAGAGTATTAAACTTAACCTATTTTTCTTTTGGGAATATATCTAGAAGATTGAGTTTTTCTGTAATAAAAACAGCCGCGAAAGACTCAGTGGTCCGGAATGTATTTTGCTTTCTTTGCTTTTTCCTTTTTCCAAAAGAAACTAAGATGGTCAGAATAAAGCACATGTATATATTATGATTAATGAACAAAGGATTGTGGAAAGGAGAATTTCAGGACATTCTGCATGGGTCTTTTTTAATAAGCCCACAATCATTTTTTAAGCCTATTGAACATTTTTTTCACTTGTTTGTAAGATGTAGATACCATGACATTTTATCCTCAATTTCTTGATGATGGTATGAACTTATTTCTTGTTACAGATCCTAACAACACCCACTCTAATCCCTAGAGTTCTCTCACCTGCCCTCCATGTCTGGCTATATAATGGGCTACTATTTTGTTACATGTTTGCAAGAAAGCACCTATAGCTTTTAAAGATTTCACTGTTAACTCTCACTTCTCTCATCTCAGTAAGACTTGATTAGAACAGTGCCTTTGTCACAGATAAACCTGGAATTATACCCTCTGATAGAGGTCTGGACTTAAGTGTTAAAGACAGATTTATAACCATGAGATTACAAGAGTGGGTGATACAGTTCACATTTTTTAGGGAATTTAATATGCTCGCTCGACTCCCTTCCTTTGGAAGGAATATAATTTAGCCCTTAACTGTAGGTAAAGCTGGGTTCCTATAGTAAATAACTTTTATTTCTGCTACAACATTTGAGAAAAATGCTCATTTGAAGTCGCAGTTTCAAATTGAAGAGTTTAGTAGAGATGATTTAAGGTTGAACTATTTTCAAAGTAAAAATTACCAGTTGACTGTCTCTCTCCATCACGTAATGCCAGATAGGCTTCTGAGTAACAGCTGCATGTCCCTAAATAGGCAGAACTGCAGACAAGTAGCCCTGCCTTAGAGAATGAAAAAATTAAACTAGAAGCTGCTTTAACATAAAGAATATGAAAGCTTCTATGGTGACTTTAACATTGAATTTTGATGTATCATAGACATGCAATTGTATTTCTTCAGTGAGCAATATTCAATGTTTAGCTTATAGAATTTTGTATGCAATTGATCTGTTTTCCATGTGGTTTATTATTTTTTATCTCTCTAGGAAAAACTGTTACTAGAACCGATGTTTGAAGTCCCTAATTCTGATATTGTCTGTGTGGAAGTTGACAAAGAAGTAGTAGAAGGAAAAAAGGAACCAGGATACATTCGGTAAAGTGTATTTTCAAACCAGAACAGATCAAAAATTTAAGATTCTTATTGGTCCTTTGTGTTGTGATTTATTGTTCTTTCATATAGAATAACAGTGCTTATATTGATAAGAAAAGCAGTACTCGGATTTTCTGTAGAAGTTTTCAGTTTATAAAATATTATTTTTGAGTCTTTTAGAGATTTATTTTTTATTTACTTGAAATGCATAGTTACAGAGAAAAAAGGAAAGAGACAGAGAAAGGAGAATCTTTCATCCACTTTTTCATACCCCAATTTGCCATATTGGCCATGACTATGCCAAACCAAAGCAGTAGCCTGTAGCTTCTTCGCAGTTGGTAGGGCTCACGCACTTGAGCCATCTCTGCTGCTTTCCTGAACATGTTAGCAGAGAGCTGGACTGGAAGTGGAGCAGTAGGGACTCAAACCAGCTCCCACATGGGATGCTGCATTGCAGGTGGAGGCTTAACATGGAGTTATCATGATGCTGGCTCCTCATTTTGAAAGTTGATATAATTAACAAATGACCTTTTTTTCATATCTTTCTTAAGACCAAATTTTTTTTTCCATTTTTTAATTATATTTTTGACAATCATTACATAGTTAATTAGGGTAAAAACGTTCAAGGGTTACAGGAAAAGTGGGTAAGACTATCATTTCCACATTGTTTGCTTCACATCTCTGGGGTAAAGGGAGAGATAATGAGAGAAGCCCCACCCAGTTTCCCACCCACCCCAGGTCCCTGATGTGGGACATGCTCTGAGATACTTGCTCAAGTGGTTGTGATAGTTCACCAGTTATTAATTGCTGCCAGTCTTGCCATTCACGATGAGGTTGTTGAAGAATCCACTGATTGACATAGTCCATCATAGAGTCTCCGTTTGCCCAGTTTTTCACTGCCAACATATGGCTGAGGTGGTTGATTGACTTGTTCTGTCCTCTGTCTTTTCATGGTTAGGGTTCTGAGTCTGGCAGTTTGATTGAGGAGCTCCCCAAAGAGACTTTGTCTGAGATGTTCCTAGACCAGATTCCTGTATGTACTAGAAGTATAGGGCCTGGCACAGTCCATTGCCCCGATCAGCTGATGGATGGAACTGCTGGGTCAGCTCCGTTTCCAGCGCTGTCCTCCACGTGAACCGTTGGGTGTTGCAGTCCATCCTGGTTCTGCCCAGGACACACTTGGCCCTCACATAAACCAGTGGGAGCTGCAGCCCCGTCGGAGCAACCCAAAATAACCCCCACTAGGCTCGCCCCCTATCCTAGTTTGCCAGTATGTGCAGCAAACTAGTTCAGTCTGTCTCACATCCCATTCAGCTCTCATACATAATACCAAAATTTTTGTTTCATAATGTTTCTTCTCAGTAGTAACACCAGTTAACAGATTTGATCCACTGCTTGACATTCCCTGCTTTGTTTATGTCGGGGGCCAGCTGCCTTAAGTGCTGGATAAATACCTATGAGCTGTGTGCTCTGCAGGGACACTGCGCTCAGAGGGGGAAAGCAGCCAGTGTGTGAGGGGTGGAGCTTGTTTGAATTCCAGTACATCTGCCTTAACACAAGTAGACAAGGAGCTGAATTTGTCTTGTAAGCTATAGTGTATTGATCTCTAAATTATTCAGCATTTCTTTTCAGTGCTCAGCAAAGGTTAGTCTTCCAGTAAACTCAGTCACCAAGTATGTTAGTTTTACGGTTTAAGTTGATTGGTTTTGAACAACCTTAATTATTTTTCAATTTTTTAGTCATTTTTTTCCATGATATTTTTGTACAGACTTAGTTATTTAGCAGCAGTTTTTTATTTTTATTGTTTAATGGTATTGGTAGGTCATTTTAAATGAATTATGGTGGCTTATGTGTTAATTTTGACTAATTTGAAATAGTTTTGGTCAGAGGTAGTCAGTTTATTTACCATACACATATGCTTAAATGTAAGTTTTCACCTCTAAGTAACCAAAATGTTAAAAGTATTCTTGATGTTTTTTGATTTTGCAGATTTTTTTTTAAGCTAGGGAAACTAATCTATTTTGGGAATAACTCCTCTAATTTTTATCTCTGAAAAACAAACAGACATGGCTTTGTGTTGTAGGGCTCCAACAAAAGAATCCCCTGAAGAGGAGTACGACTCTGGAGTTGAAGAGGAAGGATGGCCTCGCCAAGCAGATGCTGCCAATAGCTAAACCGTCAGACCCTCCTGTATATCCAGCTCTTCCTTCCGTTGTTTAGGGCCGTAACTGTTTCTGCAGTCTGACATTAAAGGCATTGGATCTGTCTTGGATATCATACATGGTCAGAAGCCTTTAGGATAAGAATCAGATCATGTATATTATAGTAACATCACATTGATTTATACAGAGAACATTACGTGGACTCTAATAACACAGTGTTTAGAGATAAAATGTACATTATTTTGGTTCCATTTTTTAAAAAATATGCTTCAACAAAATTCTTTGGAGTTCTTTGAAGCAATGCAGGTATTGCAATAACTATGGATTTTACAATAATGATACTCTACAAATGGAAAAATAAATTCTTTAAAATTAAATATTGGCATACTATTCTTTAGTGTTACCTTTTTCTACTCACATTTACCTCCAGAAAATACAAGAATTTTAGTCATCATAAAGGTCAGATGTTTCCAAATAGTTAAAAATTTCATGGAAAAACACCCTAAGAAGCTATATTTCAGTGATTTTAGCTATAATCTTAGTCTAAACTGCTAATGCATGACACTTACTTCCCAGCTGGCACTTTTTAAAAGGTCATTTTGTTTTTGATCATTTGCCATCTTTGCTCCATATTAGCACTGTAGGTGAGTGGACAAACTGAAACCTGGCTTACATCTTCAGTAAAGAACGACCCATCTAATTCTGTCAATCACAGTGACAGCCAGGTGCTCAGCTAAATGAGTGAGTGTTCTGTTGTACACTCGGGTTTTGTTGTTGTTGTTGTTGTTTGTGGGCTTTTTGTTTTTGTCTAGGTGGGGGTAGGGTGCAGGGCTGGTTTAACTTAATAGAACGTTGACGTCTTTGTTTTGCTATCAGTCAGTGTGAATGTGCTCACACTAAGCAGAAGTTACTAACTTTCATTACTTAGCAAAACTAAAAATGAGAGGGAGATTTTTGAATTTAAAAACATATCACTTAATTCCATAAATATTAATATATTTTAGTATCTTTTAAGCTTTTTTTCTACTATAATGATGCAAGCTTCTGCATTATTCATTCACTTGAATCTCATTTGATACTGTTCAAGTCAGCACACCCTTAAATACTTGTTTTCATGTTTCAGGAGTTCTGAGTTTTCCTTTTTTCTTTATGAGCCTTAAACTATGAATTGACTGTAAATCCTATTGATAAGATATTGCATTTTCTATAATGTAATAAAAGGGATGTGAGGTGCCTGTTTATGGTTGGAAAAACCAGAATTGCATTTTTGTAAGTGTTTAAGCCTGTCGGGTGTAGACTGGAATAGAAAACAGGAGTCCTTAGTGATGGTTCCAGATTCTTCTCAGGAAGTCTTTCAGGTGATAACTTTGCCCGCTCTCTTCTCATACAGCATCATTTTCCTTTTTGTAGAGTGGAAGTTGGGAGTAGTTTTTAAGTATATAACGGTGATTTTCCAGAAATGGGCTGGGAGACGTTTAGTCACAGCTGCTTACACTGAGTTTTGAAAGTTGTTGATCAAGCATAATCAATGTTTTTAACCCAAACACAGCTAAATATAATTACAGTTTGTATTTTGGAACTTAATGTTTTGGCATTTCAATAAAACAAAAGGACGAAATGAAAGCCCAAGTGGTGGTATGTCCATACTCTATAGCAGTGCAGGGGTACTTTCCATTGACTACAAGTACAGTCTGGACAGCGCCGTTTTTAAAAGAGCAGGAATGACAAGTGCGTTGCTTCATTCTGCAAATTGGCTAATCCGTGGCTGTCCGGTATCCCTCTGGTCAGTTCTCATTGTAGCTTTGCACGAAGTTTCAGTGAAGATTACATTGAAAATTGGTGAAAATCCTTGCTCCAGTCTTTAACAAGCCCTGCACGGAACCGGCACTCTGCTTTTCAAGCTTACTGCCCTTGGAGGTTAGGCAAGCACAAACCTCAGTGATTTGTACTAGTGGAGGTGAGATAGGTGCCCGGTGTGATGGCACAGAAGATCGTAGCCATGCTGGGTCTGGAAGAACAAGCAGGAAGTTACCAGAGAAGGATAATGAGTATTTAAAAGTTCAGAGATAGGAAACAGCAACTAGAAAGGCTTAAAAAAGAAATAGGAGACAGCTATGACTTCTGTTACTATGTCCCCTCCCCTCTGCATCTAGCTGAAGACCACTTAGCTCTTGTGTTTGACAAACTGTCAGATGGGATTTTTCACCTCCCTCTATAAATCTGCCTGCAGTATATCATCCAGTCTGCCTAGATAAAACTAAAGGGTCCGTCTAACCAAAGCTCAGTCACCATGTATGTGCCTGAGTTCCTCATTCCTTCTGATTTCTTTAGGCCTTTAGCTTTTTTGTTATTGTCTCTACTTACATTATCCTTCCTCCTGGTTCATTCTCAGAGACATCTATTCACTGCCTTTTATTTCCTGTCCTGTATCGAATTGTCAGATTTTTATTCATTTTGTTTGCCTTTCCAGCTACACCTTAATTTCCACTGGTGTGAAGACCAATCCTGTTTTGTTAACGATAACAACACTTAAAAAAAAAAAAAAGAAAAACACTTACTGTGGTGCTTTTTAAAGTTGCTGGCTTATAATTTTTTTTAAAGATTTATTTATTTTTATCAGAAAGTAAGATATACAGAGAGAAGGAGATACAGAAAGATCTTCCATCTACTGGTTCGCTCCCCAAGTGGCCACAGTGGTTAGAGCTGAGAGCTTCTTCCAGGTCTCCCACGCAGGTGCAGGGTCCCAAGGCTTTGGGCCGTCCTGTACTGCTTTCCCAGGCCACAAGCAGGGAGCTGGATGGGAAGTGGAGCAGCAGGATATGACCTGGTGCCCATATGGGATCCCGACACATGTAAGGCGGGGAACTTTAGCCAAGGCCCAGCTTATAAATGATTAAACACAGGATAATTTATATGCCAGTGTAGATTTTACATTTTTATAGAAGCATTGGGACATTATTAAAAGTTGGTTGCAGCCACTGGGGAGGGAATGATTACATGGGCAATTTTATTAACTTGAGGGACAGATACACAGAAGTTCCATCTGGTGGTTCACTCCTCAAATGCCTGCAATGGTCAATGTTGACCTGAACCAAAGTTAGGAACTCAATCTAGGTCTTTCCATGTCAGTCACAGGAATCCAGCTCACCCACCGCCTCCCAGGCAGGGAGTACATAAGCAGGGAAGTAGAATTGGAAGTGGAGCCATGATTCAATCCCAACTATTCAGATATGGAACATTGGCATCCTTACTGACGGCTAAACAAAACACCTGCCCCTGGATGTACATTTTAGATTGTTGGGAAAACAAGCCCTGCAGAAAATTAACGGAAGGAAACACGACTGAACATTTATCCAGTACTTCTTGATTTCATCAGTTTCCTCTTTTTCAAATCAGTTTTCATCAGTAAACAAGTCCACACCCCTGCCACAGCAGAACTAAAAATTGATCTTACTTTTTCCAGTTTTTTTCTCTTTGTCTCTCTCTCTCTCTGCCTCCCTCCCTTGCTTCTTTCCTTCCTTCCATTTATTTTTATTGGAAAGGCAGATTTACAGAGAGAAGGAGAAACAGAGATAGATCTTGCATCCGCTGGTTCAAGTGGCTACAACCACCGGAGCTGAACCAATTTGAGGCCAGGAGCCTTTTCTGGGTCTCCCACATGGGAGCAGGGTCCTCCCAAGGCATTGGGCCATCTAGCAGGGAACTGGATTGCAGTGGAGCAGCTGGGACACAAACTGGTGCCCATATGGGATCCCAGCACATGCAAGGCAAGGATTTAGCCACTGGGCCACCACACTGGGCCCTCCAGTTCATTTAAAATCTTTGATTCAGAGATGGAAGCTGTTGGGATGTCTGTTCAGCTTAGAGACAGAGACAACTCCCATTCATTTTCTCCCCAAATGCCTGCAGAGGCCAGGGCTGAGCTGGGATTAGAGTGGAGGCTAGGACATTCAAGTCTCCTACATGCATGGCGGGATCCCAGTTACTTGAGCCATCACTGCTGCCTCTCGGGATCTGCATTAGTAGCACACTGTCAGGAGCCAGGGCCTGTATCCAACCCAGTCACTGATGTGTAACACAGGTACCTTGTCCGCTATTTTAACCACTAGGCCAAATGCACAGTCCCAGTTGGTCTTCTAGTTAAGAAACTTTATGCTTGCTTACAAACTTGATTCTAAAGTCTATATGGAAACAAACAAGAAAAATGATAATTCACACTCAGATTGTGCTGCTGCTTCTGTTTTTATGTATATATATATATTTTTTTCTTTTTTTATGAATTACATTGTAATATATGACAGAGTTTTATAGGTACTGGGATTCTCCCCACCCTTCCCCTAGCCCTCCCCCCATGGTGGATTCCTCCACCTTGCTGCATTGCCACAGTTCAAGTTCAGTTGAGATTCTTTCATTGCAAGCATATACCAAGCATAGAGCCCAGCATCTTATTGTCCAGATAAGTTCAGTGGCTTGTTGAGGAGACCTTCTCTGGTCTGAAGGTAGAGCCAGCCAAGTATCATCCCGATTAATTAAAAGCCCCAACATAACATCAGCAACAATTTATAATGTTATGGAATTAATTGACATAGTATTGAGTAACCAATATGTTAACAAAAAAATGCAAGTTCTTAACCACATCCTGTGACTACTTTATTGACATTTCAATTTTAGTTTATATACAACCGGGTTCTATACATCTTAAAATTGCTGGATCAGGACTAGAGCAGCTGGTAGATGAACCTGCACCCGCGTGGGAGACCCGGAAGAAGCTCCTGGCTTCGGATCAGCATAGCATCGGCCGTTGCGCGCTCACTTGGGGAGTGAATCATCAGACGGAAGATCTTCCTCTCTGTCTCTCCTCTCTGTATAATCTGCCTTTCCAATAAAAAAATAATAAAAATAAATCTTTATTAAAAAAACACATGTATGTAACAGTGTAGAAGTGAACAGGGAAAACAATGGAAAATAAATCCAAATAAATTGAATAATACAGTGGTCTTTCAAGTTAGGAAAAGGTATACTATTCAACGGAACTGTTGACTGGCTAATCATTTGAAAAATACAGTTAAACCTTGCAAAGTAAGCCAGCCACTTAAGTCTTGAGAGAGCCTTGGCAAATGGAGTCAAGCTCTGGTTCTTATGATATGACCCAAAAAGCCGTTGCCCCTGAAGGTAAGCAGCTGCTCCCTTTTTAAAAATTTAGTGCACTACAGATCAAACCTCATTACTTCTTGGGGCCTAGTGTGGTGGTATATCTGGCCGATCATCTGCCTTTAGCGATGGCATCCCATATGGGTGCAGGTTCATCTACCAGCTGCTCTAGTCCTGATCCAGTTCCCTGCTTATGACCTGGGAAAGCAGGGGAGGATGGCTTAAGTCCTTGGGCCCCTACATCCACGTGGGAAATTTGGAAAAAGCTCCTGATTCCTAATCAGCTCAACTCTGGTCATCGTGGCTATTTGGGGAGTGAATCAGTGAATGAAAGATCCTCTCTTTGTCTCTCCTCTTCAAATAAAAACCTCTGAGAAACTTAATGTAACTTTTTAAAGGATTTATTATTATTTGAAAGGAATAAAGAACTTCAGTCTCCTAATTCACTCCCCAAATGGCTGCTATGGCCAAAGCTGGACCTAATCCAAAAACAGCAGCCAGAAGATTCTTCCAGGTCCCCCACATGGGTGCAGAGGCCCAAGCACTTGGATCATCTTCAGCTGCTTTCCCAGGCGCACTAGCAGGAAACTGGATTGGAAGTGGAGCAGCCAGGACTTAACTGATGCACTTATGCAATGCTGGTGTCACAGGTAGAGGCTTAATGTGCTGTGTCACAACACTGACCCAGAGAGCAAACTTCTAACTCATGTCTTTCTCATCAGCTCCTGTCATGGAAATTATATATAAATAAATGTTTTATGAAAATAAGGAGGCATCCATTATTTAGTTACTTTGCTCAGAGAAACATACTCTGAAATAGATTTAATCATGATGTTTAAGTAACTGGACCGTAGGCAAAAGGAAAAAGAATGTCCATTGGCCAAATCTCAAAAACTAATCAAAAGAGGGTATAGTAAGTGTGATTATAAAGCTTCGAAAAAAACACAAAAGAGAAATTCTTAAGAATCGAAGGCCCAGAGATGAGACTTGATGTGAAAAACACAGTTCTGGGAGAAAAAAAAATCTTAAGTTGAACTTCATCAAAATTAAGAGCACTAGTAGTGGGGGAAGGAAACAAACTTCTTAAGGACCAAAAATACATGGAAATAGACAACAGATGTCAGGGGTTGAGAAAGTGGGGGGAGAAACAGAAGAGGGTATGGTAAAGGTAAATACTGAATCCTCATCAATATTCCCATTGCGATACTGCACTATAGTTCTTCAAGAAGTTACCACCAGCATCAAAGCATGCACATATTTTGAGACAATCCACAATTATCTCTAAATAGTTTATACAACCATGTTGCATGACCTTTTTACCTTCTGTTTCAAGTCAGTGGTTTCCCATTATGTTTAAATTTTCCATAAGTGTCCAAACTAGACATATACTTGCCTGCTGCTGTTGTTGGAGACTATGCTCCCCCCCCCCCCCCCCGTATATCTCCTATTTCTCCTTTAGATTGCAGATAAGGCCCAAGTCCTTGGAGCAAACTTCCCAAACGACTTCGATGGAGTCAAATTTCATTGCTGCTTGATCAAGGTGTTACTGTTACGTCCAGATCTCAAAGTTCCCAAAGACTACTAGGAGACTGAGTCCAGTGCAAGCACACAAGGGCAGTTTATTTAAGCTCAAGCCTGGGCACCAGTTGTCACCGACACAGTGGTTCAGGATTGTGAGCCCTGAGGCCGAACAGCACAGTGTTATTACAGCTCATATAGTCCAAGGGGAATTGCAGGTATTCACTTGTGATTGGTTGACATTTAAAAAAATACAAGTTGGCATTCACTCATTGGTGGGTCTGAAGCAAGTGGACCTTATCTCAGGCAGGGGAACTTGGGGAATTTCCTGTTGTTTTCTTATAGGCTATCATCTGCTGACCGGTTATTTGCGATGTTTTACAAATGAAACTTCAACTGACAAAATGGTGCCCCCATCCAAGACTGCAAGACTTATGCCAAGATTCTTCATTCTCCCCTTTTCTTGTGACTAGGGGATCCAGTCATGGCTCCCTCTTGTAGGGGGCAATATTGGGATATTCATACCATCAGTTGTACTCTGTTCTCTGATGAAGGAGACTAATCTATTGAGAATACAGGGGCCAAAAGTAAGCAACAATACCAAGATGAACAAGAGACTAATAGAGTGGAAATCAGGATAGTTAACCAGGGGGAAGTATTAAACCAGATACAAACCATCCTTCTGATGGTTCTCGCTTTCTCTTAGCGAGGCCTTTTCAAACTTTGGCCATAGATTCTTTTACTACTCCTGAGTGATCTATATAAAAACAGCATTCTTCACCGAGTGCTGCATACGATCCTCTTTGTTGAAGATAAAGATCTAATCCTCTGTGGTTCTGAAGGACAACTTCTGCTAAGGATGTTAAGGATTCCTGTAGGTGAGATGTTGAGGTTTCTCATCTTTCTATGTCCACAGCAATGGCCTGTTGTAACCCATGACACGTTTGGTTCTGAAGGATCAAAGATGACTCTCCAGTTTCTGCCCCAGTCAAGCCTAATCCTAGGAGAACTGCAAATGTGATGGCTGTGAGGGGCTCTCTTGCTACTTATCATTTAGCTATCTAGTCTCTGAGAAATTTGTTGGTCTGGGTGATAATATATCCTAGGGACTTACTGATTATACTACTACACAGTATTCCTTGTTCTTGGCCAGGACTTGGCCACGAACACATGGGGAAAGCCCAGAGGAGCAGGCCCACTACCCATTTTCAGGGGGAATCAAGTAGTTAAAAGCAAAAATAATGGCACCTGGGGGGAATCCCCAGCGCCTATAAAACTGTACTACATAATACAATGTAAGCAACAATAAAAAAAAAAAAAAAAGAAAGAAAGAATGGCACCTGTTTCGTTACAAAGCTGGCCATGGGGTTGGGACAATTGACCTAGGCATAATTCTTGTCCGGCCACAGATTTTAAGGTAAGTTTAACATTGTTTTTCTGTTGTCAGCTGTAGGCACTACTATCAGAAGAACTGTTATATTTCTCTTGTGTTGCTATTCTCTCATAATGGGGGGGAGGGGTCTAACATCATAGCACAACCAGCATGACTGTGTCAAGTTTGGATGGGAAGCATTAAGAACCGCCCAGGTACTCCGCATGAGTTCTCACAGAAAGTTTTGGGGGGCATTGCCAGATGGCATGGGCTTGGAAATTGGAGTCATGTCAGTAACTCCATCTGGCCTTGAGGAGTTGGAGAGTGTGTTAAAATCTAGGCCAGGTGCTATTGTCTGGTTTAGGCCCAAGGCTGAAGTAGGGGTGGCCAATACTGGGAATCTCTGGATGGTGAATAGTCCGCCTTGGTCGGGCCCCTCTTCATAGTATCTGAGGCCCCATACTTTTCCTACAGTCCACTTAGGATCCTTTGGGTCAGTGATGTTTATGTTGATTTGTTCACAGAAACTTCCCCCAGCTTCCGCAACTATTCCTCTATATGGGCGGCAGTTAGGGGGCCACCAATCGACTTTCACATCTTTGTCTTTGGCCTGTGGGTCTAGTTCCCATGAACTGGCCACTGTCTCACATCCCCAGTATGCACAGTAATAATGATTGGTATAATTACAATCACTGGGTCCCTCAGCAGGACACATATAAAACCCGATGGAATTGAGGCAAGGTTCGCGAGGTACAAGCTTACACAAGGTGGTTACAAAATGAGGAGTATCACTTTCCAGTGATCCCACAAATTCTCCTACTTTAGTCCAATCTTCCCACCGGACCAATTCCCACCTGTAAGTCTGATGAAGGTTCAGTGGCTCAGGGGACCCCAAACCCCTGCAAGCAGAAATCATAACAAATGTGAGGCATATGATTAGATGCACTGAAATCTTAGTTTGAGGGGGCTGTTGTCCTTGACGGCCTTCCATTCTGGCAGTTAGTCTTCTTGTGCAGGGAAGGGATCTGCGGGATGGACGTGTGTATTGTGGACCCACATAGCAATTTCGTCGACTTTGAGAGCGGTGGAGGTGGTCAGGATGACAACAAAAGGCCCTTTCCAACAAGGTTCAAGGTTTTTGTGTCTGTGGCGGCAGGCGAACACCCAACGGTCAATAGCCGTGAGGCTCGGGGGGTGGTCCAGTCTCATAAAAAGTCTTCAGTCTCTGCTAGACATGGGCCCACTGTAGAGCTTGGAGAGAGCAGAGGAAATTATGATCATCAAATCTAGTTATTACATCCACTCATAAATTGGGGATCATGGGGATGGTCTTCCAAACATAATTTCAAAGGGGGTTAATCCTAATATATAGGGTGAATTGTGTACCCTAGAAAGGGCATAGGGAAGGAGGGACACCCAGTTACCGCCAGTCTCTATGGTTAATTTCATTAGGGTCTCTTTTAGAGTACTATTCTTTCTTTCTACCTGTCCTGAGCTCTGGAGTCTAAATGCACAATGTAATTTCCAGTTTATCCCAAGAACAGATGTTAAGGATTGAATTACCTTGGATACAAATGCAGGCCCATTATCCGATCCTATCAGTACAGGAAATCCATACCTTGGCAAGATGTCTTCCAATAATTTCTTAGCCACAAGCTGGGCTGTCTCATGTGTAGTGGGGTAGGCCTCCACCCATCCTGAGAAAGTATCTACAAAAACTATTAAATATTTATATCCATATTTGCCAGGCTTGACCTCAGAAGTCTACCTCCCAATATGTCCCTGGCTTATCTAATTGCAGTCTGGATTGGCTGGGCTCTTAAAAGCATTGGTCAGCTGGCAGGCCTTGGAATTGGCAACAATTTATTCAATTTTTGAGCATGCATCCCTGATTTTAATTTGGGCATGTCTCATCAAATCTTGAATTTTTTGGGTGCCCATGTGAGTGGTGTTATGCATTTTATGAGGAATTGCACTGCCCAATTTCTCTGGAAGAATAATCTTACAGTCCAAAGATCGATACCAATCATTTATGCATTGGACCGTGGGTAGGTTTTCTATCCAATCTATACCTTCCTGGGTACACTTAGGTTTCTCAGGCAAGCAAGTGCTCCCAGAATCTGGTAGACTGAAGACCTTGGTAATTGTTAACAGGTTTTGATGTCTAGGGCGCCAATATTATCTTTACAGAGTCTAGGCCGTGTTGAAATATGTCCATTAATGACATCTGGTTATAGTTTCTGTAGGAGCTGCTGACAATGGCAAATGGGTATCTAGGTCAATCAATTCCAGCACAGACTTTGGAGGATCAGGGTGTCCCGTTCGGGGGGCGAATAAGATCAGCTTGTACAGTAAACAAATCAAATGTGCCTTCGGTGGCCAGCCTACATTAAACGTCAAATTATGTGCCCTGGCCTTTACTTTCAGTCAATATCTGTCCCATATCGTCGTCAGGCAAGCACACACACTCAAAAACAAACACCAATTTTTCAAGAGAAAAACCAAAATGAAGAAAGGATCCTATTTCAGATCTTCTAATTCTCTCCAATACTCAGAGAGGACCCTATTTCAGGCCTTTAACTTCCCTTGTCAAAGAAGTGGAACCAGGACGGTTCCTGGGTGACTGATAGACCCTTAGGCAAAAACAAAAGGAAAGACTCACCACTGCTGCCCTTAGGGTTGGAGGTCCTGGAGACCTTGGGGATTCCAGACGAGCCCGTTAGATTCGCTGACCACCAGGGAAAGAATAACTCGGCCGAATTCGTAAAAGGAAGTTAGATGGCCTTTATTCCAAGGAACCGCGGTCACGGGCTTCCCTTCCCCGCGTAGCAGGAACGCGAGGGAGACGGCTACAGAGGAACAAGAGCCAGGGAGACACGTGCAGCACTTTTTCAACTCCCCTTGACACGGAAGCCGAGACGGGGGTCGCCTCGACCTCTATTTGGTGCGGGTGGGTTCGTGTCCCTCTTGGGTGCAACGGTGGTTTCACAGCACAAGCGGCCCGCCAGAATTCCGCCGTCAGTTCCGGGTTGGAAGCAAACTCCGCCCTCCTCCGGTTACCGTGGTAACCAGCATCCGCAAACGTTATGCCCAGATCTCAAAGTTCCCCAGACCAGCAGAGGAGGCCGAGTCCGATGCAAGCGCACGAGGGCAGTTTATTCAGGCGCGAGCCTGGGCCCCAGTCGTCCCCGACGAAGCGATCGGTTCAGGATTGTGAGCCCCGAGGCAGAACGGCGCAGGGTTTTTATTAATCGAAACTAATTCACGTAACTGACAAAATGGCGCCCCATCCAAGATGGAGGGACTTAACTAAGGTTCTTCATTACTAGTCTACAGAAGACGAACAGCTTGGTCTCACTGTGGGGAGAGCTTCTGGAACCACGCTCAATACCGACAGTAATTACAAACCAAAAGCTAGAAGGCGGAACGAAGACCACCCCCTTGCCAGACTTTCCGGGGGAACTCGGCGCGCCGGCGTCGCGCGTCCGAGGACGTCACTTCCGCCCGGAAGACTCACCCTGGAAACAACTCCTGTCACTTGAGCATCTCCGTGGCCAGCATGGCCCTGCCGCCCTTCTTCGCCCCGGGCCGCCCGGGCCCGCCTCCTCCGCAGCAGCCGCCTCCTGCGCCGTTCGGCTGCCCGCCACCGCCGCTGCCTTCCCCGGCTTTCCCGCCGCCTCTGCCCCAGCGGCCCGGCCCTTTTCCGGGAGCCTCTGCCCCTTTCCTCCAGCCTCCCCTGGCTTTGCAGCCCCGGGGTCCCGGGGACATCTCCCGCAGTGGCGGCGGCGGCAGCAGCAGCGGTGGCAGTGGTGCCTTCTACCCGGTGCCACCGCCGCCGCTCCCGCCGCCGCCGTCCCAGTGCCGGCCCTTCGCGGGCACCGAGGCCAGCGAGCGGCCGGGGCCACCGCCAGCAGGTCCGGGGCCGCCCTGGAGCCTGCGCTGGCCCGAGGCGCCGCCGCCGCCCGACGTGCTCGGGGACGTGGTGCTGCAGCGTCTGCGCGACCGGCAGTGGCTCGAGGCGGTGTTCGGGACCCCGCGGCGGACCAGCTGCCCGCTGCCCCAACGCTCGGCCCCCGGCCCCAGCCTCGGCGAAGTGCGCGGGAGGTTGCGCGGGGCTCTGCGCCTGGTGCGGCGGCTGCGGGAGCTGGGGCAAGCCCTGCGCGAGGCCGAAGCCGACGGCGCAGCCTGGGCCCTGCTGCACGTCCAGGCCGCGCCCCTGCGCGCCCAGCTAACCGAGCAGCTGCAACCGCTGACCCAGCCCGCCTACGTGGGTGAGGCGCTGCGGAGGCTGGAGAGGGTGAGGCGCCGCCGGCTGCGGCTTCGCGAGAAGACCCGGGAGCGCGAGGCCGAGCGGGAGGCCGAGGCCGCCCGAGCAGCGGAACGCGAGCAGGAGATTGATCGCTGGAGAGTCAAGTGCGTGCAGGAGGTGGAAGAGAAGAAGCGGGTGAGAGAGCTGCAGACACGCGCGGGGTTAACTGGGTGGTGAAACCTGAAGCAGCCTGAGGCTCAAAAGTTGCTGTTTTTCTTCGGCCTAAACCCTCATTCTTGAACCGTAAAGTAAAAGATAGTCCTCCCGCCTCATTCCACCTTATACATCTGTGTCCCTGATGTGTAGTACATAAAATTTACATAGTCCTGTGAACACAAGGTATGTGATGACACCGTGGTATCTCACCTGTCCCAAGCTCCAACTTCTCCACACTTGCTAGCGTTCAAGACCATGGGTCCGGGACTGTCCCTCGATGACTTACAGGACAAATAAAATACAGAGAACTTGGGGCTTTACCGCAAGGCACATCCCGTCCTCATGGACCGCTGGGTCACTAATGACTTCCCCAAGTTTACAACTGGTAAATGGTATGTCACCAGGTTCACTGTGAGCATGTGTTTGTATGTTAGAAGACACCAGATCTTGACTCTCACAGCCCTGAGGGATAGGGGGAATTAACCCAGTTTTACAGGTAGGAATCCGAGGCAGAGAGAGGTTCACTTGTCAGCGGTCATGCAACGGGGTTATGACCATTTCTACCCCAGATCCGAGCCCAGGTGGCCTGATTACCAAGTCTGTTGCTCTGAAGACCTTAAACTGGAAATCAGTCAAATAGTTGCTTAGCATATTTCACAACCTTCAAGTGCCTTTGGGGTTCCCAGCTCCCATGCCTCCAGTCTTCACCTTCCGTGGGGTGAGCTCACTGTGAAATGCACCATGGGCAGTGACTGTTCGGCAGGCAGTGAAGGAGGGTCTGTGCTATGCCAGCTGCAGGACAGATGTCAATGTGAATAGGAATGGGACAGAACCCCCTTGAGGGAACATGTCAGTACAGCATGGTGAGGGATGCTGCAGGAGCCCAGGGTGTTTATTGCTTAGGGGAGGCTTTCTAGATAAGGTAATGAAATCTGAGATGATCCTGGAATGGAAGGTCAGAGCCAGATGAAAGCAACAGGTGCAGCTGCAGGCAAGGAGCAAAGTAGCCTGGTTGGAGTTGGCAGTGATTTGCTCAACAGGGCACTTGTTGACTGCAGGCAAGCACTAGGCCATTGTGTCCTTCCAGCTGTCCACTGTATATCAGAGCCTGAGGAATGGCTCAGGGAACTGGGGTGGTTTAACTCGCAGGGGAACCAATTTGGGAAGAATAGAATAGTGGTCTTTAGATGTTTGCAGTGGTGGTCGGGGTACGCTGTAGAGGGAAGTTGGATCAGGCCTAGGAAATGGTTCAGCAGTCTTGAGCCCGGGGACTGCGGGATCATGCCACATCTTACCTACTGGGATGTTCCTGGCCCTGGGTCTCATGGCACCATTCCTCCCACAGGAGCAGGAACTCAAAGCTGCTGCTGATGGCGTCTTATCTGAAGTGAGGAAGAAACAAGCAGACACCAAGAGGATGGTGGATATTCTCCGGGCTTTGGAAAAGCTGAGGAAACTGAGGAAGGAGGCCGCAGCCAGGAAAGGTAACCAGGACTTTGCTTTTTTTTTTTTTTTTTTTAACACTTCTGGCTTCTCACCCAAAATAGTTTTTGGAAGAGTCACTAGGCTTGTTAGCTATAGCTTCAGAACCTTGGGAGCAGAAAGCCTCACAGGCTCTTGAACGTGGGAATCCCATGACTCAGTCTTCCTACCCCAGGTATTGCTGGCTACACTTTTCAGAATGGGCTTGTCATGGCTGGGACGTGTCTGCCAAGATGAAAGCTGTCCTGCCCTTATTTGGTGCCCCAAAAGGTGTGTCTTTTGCCTCTGGAGGGAGTGCCAAGCAATCCAAGTACCTTCAGCAAAGGTTGTCCTAGGAATGCCGTCGGTGCCTTCCATTTGTGTGTCTGGATATGTGTTCTTACTGGCCCATTTGTCTACAAAGGCGTTGACCCCGTCTTCACCATTTGAAGATCTCCCTGTGCTTCAAAACCGAACACTGATGCGATAAGTACTGATGTGCCTGCCTTGACCGGGCTGCAGTGACCCCTGACTTCATGTGCACTTGGATTGGACCGGGCTGCCTTACTTAGTAGTTTGTAGGCCAGGGATATTTCAAAGTATACAGATTAGTAGGGACTGTTGTTGCAGATGGTTTCCTTTGTTAAAATGTGAGGGTACCTCAAAATGATAGTGGAAGAAAGGAATTAAGATAAGTTGTATTTTTTTTTAAGATTTATTTTTATCACAAAGATATACAGAGAGGAGGAGAGACAGAGGGGAAGATCTTCCATCTTATGGTGGCCGCAACAGCTGGAGCTGAGCCAATCCGAAGCCAGGAGCTTCTTCCGGATCTCCCATATGTATGCAGGGTCCCAAGGCTTTGGGCCGTTATCAACTGCTTTCCCAGGTCACAAGCAGGGAGCTGGATGGGAAGCAGGGCCACAGGGATTAGAACCGGCACCCATATGGGATCCCGGCGCATTCAAGATAAGGACTTTAACCACTATGCTATAGTGTTGGGCCCAAGGTAAGTTTTATTTTATGCAGAAATTGAGATCAATACCTATTTTTAAATAATCATTCTCGTGAACATTTTGAAACCTCTTGTATATGTGAGTTTTTCAATTTTTTGTAGCAAAATTAACTTTCCAAGCTCTTTATTTATTTTCATTTTTGTTTGAGAGGCACAGGGGGAGAATGAGAAAGAATCATGTGGAAAGAGTTCTTCCATGGCTGGCTCAGTCTTCAAATGCCTGTGACCCACGGGGCTAAGCCAGACTGAAGTCAGAAGGCAGGAACTCAGTCCTGGTCGCCCACCTCGATTTCAGGGTCTCAAGTTACTTCAACAGTCATCTGCTGCCCCCTTGGTTGCACATTAGCAGGAAGCTGAATCAGAAGCAAAGTAGCCAGGACTTGAACCAGGCACCCAGTACAGAATGTGGGCTTCCCAAGCAGCAATTTAATCACTGTGTTACGTACCTTCCCTCACAATAAACTGTGAAATTCATTTAGTGTAGGCATTTTGAAGTACCCTCATAGGAACAAAAACCACAGCTTCCTTAGACCCCAAGTAGGTTGTGTTGGGGTGGGACCCCTGTGCATCCAATGTGACTTGCTCACCGTCTAAGCGGTATGACAGCTTTCAGAGTGGTCAGTTCCCCTCTGGCTCTCGGAGTTAGATGATTCCTTTGTCTCCAGGAGACTTGGGGGTCAGAGGAAAGATAGCATCTGCCGTGTCACCCAACCATTTCTCTTCTTTGCTAGAAAGCAAAGCCTACAAGCTGCTGTTGAATATCTCCCTGCCCCAGATCTCCCATGAGGCGGGGACTCGGTAAACTCTAACCAAGCGAATTAACCAACAAAGTTTTTCAATATCTGCCTTTCTCACTTTGGTCCAGGAAGAAAGAATTATGAGCTATCAGAAGAATAGACCTCTGGGGAGTGAACAGACTCAAATAGGAAATGATTTGCTAACCAGCACTGTGTTCTTACAGTAGAGATGGAGCACTTTTCTAGCGCCTGTCCACACGATGTGCAGACCCCCTCGAGGAAATGCTTGTAGATGAAGCTGGTCCTCTGAGCAGGGCTGCCTCACGGCCTGGGATTCTAACCTGACTTAAACATGTGGTTAATTTTAAGTTTTATTCTAACTTTTTTTTTATTGGAAATTCAGATTTACAGAGAGGAAAGACAATGATCCTCCATCTGTTGGTTCAGTCCCCAAATAGCCGCAGTGACCAGAGCTGAGCCAATCCAAAGCCAGGAGCTTATTTGAGGTCTCCCACAGGAGGGTGCAGGGTCCCAAGGTTCTGGGCCGTCCTCTACTGCTTTCCCAGGTCACAGGCAAGGAGCTGGATGGGAAGTGGAGGAGACTGGATATAAACCAACACCCATATGGGATTCTGGTGCATGCAAGGAGAGGACTTTAGCCACTAGGCTACGTAGGGCCCTACTCAAAGATCTTAAGACAGAGTTCAGTGCCAGAGCTGAGAGAGGTTGAAAACATCTAAGAGGGAAAGAGACAGGAAAAACTGTTGACTGGACAAAGGTGGATAGTATGGAAGTGAGTTGGAAGCAGTAAATAAATTTAAAAATAATAAAGGGCCAGCACTGTGGTATTGCAAGTAAAGCCACTGCCTGTGGCACTGGTTTGAGTCTTGGCTGTTCCACCAGTCCAGCCCCTTGCTAATGAACCTGGGAAAGCTGTGAAGGATGCCCAGGTGTTTGGACTCCTGCACACATGTGGGAGACCTGGAAGAAGCTCCAGGCTTCAAATCAGCACAGCTCTGGCCATTGTAGAATGAACCAGCAGATGGAAGATCTTCTTGTGTACCTCTGTCTTTCAAATAAAGAAATACATCTTTTAAATATATATTTTTAATTGTATGTAATTAAAATTAGATATATATATATATACAGATATATATATATAATGCGAATAAACAGAGTATGAGGGGCTGGTGCATCGACTCATCTGGCTAATCTTCCAGATTTACACAGAGAATGCAAGACAGTCCACTTCCCAAGTGGCTGCAGTGGCCAGAGCTTAGCTTATCTATGCCAGGAGCTTCTTCTGCTTCCCCTATTTGGGTACCTGGTCCCAAGGCAATCTCCACTAACCCCTAGGCCATAAGCCAGGAAACTAGATGGGAAGTGGAGTCACCAAGACATGATCTGGCACTTACATGGAACACCAGAACTGAAAGTAAAGGATTGGCTGGCTACACTACCATGCCAGCTCCAAAGCTTTTAACATTTAGTCTCTGACCTTTCAAGAAAAATTAAAGAAGCTATGAAATTATTGCAGAACATCATGGTGACAGCTTAAATTTCTCAGTGCATAGGATTTTAACTTGGGAAATATTATTCTGGCAACTTAGTAGATGAATTTGAACTCCACTTCTGATCCAACTCCCTGCTAATGCACCTGGGAAGGTGGCAGAACCCTGCCAACCACATGGAAGAGTAGATGGAGCTCTTGGCTTCTGGTTTCAGCCTGGACCAGCCTGACCCTGTAGCCACATGGGGAGTGAATCAGCAAATGGAAGACCTCTCTCTCTTTCTCTATATAACTCTGCTTTTCAAATAAACACATCTTTAGAATTTTTTTTTAAGTTCTGAGTAAATGGAATTAAGAGATTATAATAGTGAGCACACAACTTCGATCTACTCTAGGATTCTTAAAATTTGTTTCTTATGGAAAATTTTACACATGTGCATAGAACACCTAACTGCCTGTCATCAACTATGATGACTTTATAATGCTAAAAGTATTGCTAGTAATTCTTTAATGTCACCTAGTATCCAGTCTGTAACCATAAGTCCCCGGTTGTGGCATTAGCTGTATTGACTGCACTGATCCCGTAGTTATGTCCGGTTGACAATGATCCCAGTTGTTACTGGAGGAGAGGTTTTCCGGGATGTGAGGTTTTCAGCACTAACAGCAGGTAAACCCAAACAGCTGGTCACTCCATAGTTGGCACAGACCATGAGATCAGTTAGGTGTGCCTTTTTTCTCACCTTTTAAATGTGCTCTCAACAGATAGAATTGAGAGTTGACAGTAAAAGAACCCCATGAACAATGAAGATTAAGACTTCTCATTATCCCAATTGGAAGGTCAAAACCGGTAGAAATAGTAAAAACCAAAAGTTAAGTGGCATGATCCAGAGGGAGGAATTGGAGAAAGTAATCAGGGTACAGTCAGAGCAATTGGAGACTGAAAAAGATGAAACTGAACCTTTGAAGATAGAACTTCGAAAAATCTTCAAATTCTAAGCAAATTTATATTGTAGATTGGAATTTGAGGCTGTTCATTAGTACATGGATTTGGGGACTAGAAAAAGTTGGCATTTTAGAATGCTGTTTGAGGGGCAATGTCATGGTAGCATGGGTTAAGCTGCTGCTTGGAATGTATATACCATATTGAAGTGCCTGGTTCAGGCCCCACCTGCTCTGATGCAGCTTCCTGCTAATGTGCCTGGGACGCAACAGAGGATAATTCAGGTACTTGAGTTCCTGCCACCTAGATGGGAAACTGACTCCCAGACGAGACTCCAGCTCACAGAAGTTATTTCTGGCTCAGCCTCTGTCTCTGTGTCTTTCAAATAAATAAGAAATAAGTTTTTAAAAATAAATAGGGCCCAGTGCAATAGCCTGGTGGGTAAAGTCCTTGCCTTGCATGCACCAGGATCCCATATGGGTGCTGGTTTATATCCAGTCTGTTCCATTTCCCTTTCAACTTCCTACTTGTGGCCTGGGAAAGCAGTAGAGGACGACCCAAAGCCTCAGGAGACCTGGAAGAGGCTCCTGGCTCCTGGCTTTGGATCAGCTCAGCTGTGACCATTGTGGCCACTTGGGGACTGAACCAGTGGATTTTTGTGTCTGTCTTTCCTTCTCCCTGCCATATCTGTCTTTCCAATAAAAAATTTAAACAAGAAAGAATGTGTTTTTGTTCTTTTTGCCCAGGAGTGTGCCCGCCAGCCTCAGCAGATGAGGCTTTTGAACATCATCTTCAGCGCCTGAGAAAACTCATCAAGAAACGCTCTGAGCTCTATGAGGCTGAAGAGAGAGCCCTCAGAGTTATGCTGGAGGGAGAGCAAGAAGAAGAGAGGAAAAGAGAATTGGAAAAGAAACAAAGGAAAGAAAAAGAGAAGATTTTGCTTCAAAGACGTGAAATTGAGTCCAAGTTGTTTGGGGATCCGGGTAAGTTTCCCTTGTAGCCAGTGGAGAGAAGGAGACTAGGTTCACAGCTGTTTCATCGTTGGTGATTTCAAATTAGTGCAAAAGAAGTAGCGATAGGTGACACCTTCCGGACTTGAGCTTCTGGGCCCTGTTGTGGAATCAGAGGTACAGAAGAGATACACTGGATCACACCGTGACACTTGTAGGCCCCGTCAGCTCACCTTGAGAAGCAGACCCCAGAGGCGCCTTTTCTGATGATGATGCACTGTGCCTTTTTCCTTCCAGACGAGTTCCCGCTGGCTCACCTGCTGCAGCCTTTCCGACAATATTACCTCCAGGCTGAGCACTCCCTCCCGGCTCTCATCCGGATCAGGTCAGGGCAAGCTCCGCGGTGTCGTCCTCTGAGTTCTCAACTTGATAAAGCATTTGTGTCGGTGGGGTCCACCACTGTATCTTTTTCTTTTAGACTTTTTATTTACTTTTATTGGAAAGTCAGATATACAGAAAGAAAAGGAGAGACAGAGTGGAAGAGCTTCCATCCGATGATGTCCGATGATTCACTTCCTAAGTGGCTGCAACAGCCAGAGCTGAGCTGATCTGAAGCCAGGAGCCCGGAGCTTTTTCCGGGTCTCCCACAAGGGTGCAGGGTCCCAAGGCTTTGGGCCATCCTCAACTGCTTTTCTCGGCCACAAGCAGAGAGTTGGATGGGAGGCGGGGCCTCCTGGATTAGAATTGGTGCCCATATGGGATCCAGGCGCCTACAAGGAGAGGACTTTTACTAGGCCACCATGCCTGGCCCTACTGTGTCTTCTTGCTTATGGGTTTGTGGTTCCAATTTTCAAGAATGCCAGACCCATGTCTTTCTTTAGTCTTCATGTATCACTAGCAGTAATGCTCCTATTTTAACAGTTGAAGGACCTGAAATTCAAGTGGCAACTTGCCATTTTGTGTAGCTATTAATGCTGATTTAAAGCATGGGCTGGCTTTCCCAATTCTCTTCTGGTGCCTAACAGGAAGAAAGAGCCTGTGTTCTTGTTTGTAGAGACTGCTTAAGACCCAGGCGGGCATCGAGCTCCCAATAAGCCAAGGCCTAGAGAGCTAGGAGCCAGGTATCTTACTGAAATCTACAGCTACTGATGAGCTGGGTAAGGTCTTCAGGGTCTCACTTAGTTATGAAATGAAGGCAGTGAGCTAGAATATGGCCCTCAAACTCAGCTGTCTTTTGATAAATCGCCATGTAAGGTAAATGGATTGGCATTGCCAGGAAGCACTTTGTTGTTTTCAGACCTCCCCCAGAACATCTGCCTTGAGGCTTATGGTCTGAAAGTCACCGAACTAGGTGATCTCCGAGATCCCCTCTGAAAATCTGACAGTGTGTCATTCTCCTCCAATCAATGCCTTATTTTATGTGTGTTTCTGGTAAAGACATATAACGAATGCGTATTGTTGACTGATGAACATGGAACTTGTTAATGGCGCTACAACTCATGCCTGATTGAAACTTCCATAACAGTTTCTCCACAAGGCACATCACAGCCTTGTCCTAAGTGCTGAAAATAAGTGCAAATATGACCTTGTTGTGATCTCGGGTGGGACAGATTGCATGTTGATGACTCGGATTTGTTGCCACTGTGTGTGTATGTCTGCAGGTATCTATGAAAGAGCCTGGAGGGGTAATCTTGTGGGCACTAACACATTCCAGTGAGCAGGCAAAGCTGCAGAATCTAGCAATAGTGAGAGTCATGTTTATATTCATATTTGGTTATCCACAGTGCTAGCTAGCGGTTCTTTACATTTTTCTCCAGTTATATGAGTATAGTTAAGGAATAGTGCTCTTTTGCCTAATTCCTAGAAGCCAAGTTCTGTGACAGATTTGTGTATCAGTGATTTGAAAGCTAAGTCCCAGAAACAGAATTAATTGCTAAACACCTTGCTTGGTATGAGCCAGAAATAAACAGTTGTTGTACAATGTTCTTGTTCAGGCACGATTGGGATCAGTACTTGGTGCCGTCCGACCATCCCAAAGGCCACTCTGTTCCCCAAGGATGGGTCCTGCCCCCGCTCCCCAGCAACGACATCTGGGCAACAGCCGTTAAGCTGCCCTAGTCAAGATGCTCCAGGAGTGTGGTCCAGCCCTGGCTCATTCCAGCTCTGGATGCTTACTAAGCTTGCCATCTTCTTATGCCGTAGACTCAGCTGCAACTTCTGAATCCCACGTGGCATGGCCTTACATGAAGTTCAGTTTCCCCTCTGTGCTCTGTCCTTGCCAGAGGTGCCTCTTGAATCAGGAAATGGACATGGTTCTTCAGGAAAGGACCAGGTGAACCAAGGTCATGGCCTCAGCAGTGAGCTTGTCTCACCAAATATGCCTCTGTTTTGAGGGGCTTGGTTCAGAGGGACTTGTTAATTTACTCGAACTTCCTTGTGTGGTGTTGGGTAAGTACACTCAGTTCACTCCAGCACTGAGCCCACGTGTCTGCCAGGTGGCAGCCCTTCCACCAACCCTGAGCGTGAACAAGAGCTTGATGCAAATCCTCCCACTCCCCAGCAACCATCTCACATCTAGGAGGAAAGGTCCGACATGCTGTGACTTTGGCTTTGCTAATCACAGTGTCGCCGCAGCTCAGGAGGCTACTTGTTAGGAAGATAGCAGTGACTGCAAGGCCAGGCTGCCAGAAGAGGCCTGAAGACTGCTCGTACTGAAGTTGGAATGTGTTTGAATGTGCGATGGCTGCACTGGCCGCATGTGAGGATCCTAACGAGAGGTCCGAGGGTTCTAGTTGTTAAGAACTCCCAAGATTAGAAAATGTCTTTCCCCATGGGAATGGGCTGTAACCCTCATAGCTGTGAAATTTTCCTAGGACCTCAGGCTTCCAAAAACATTCCTGTAGTCAAAGCTGGAGAAAAGGCAAGTAAAAATGATAGAGTTTATTTTTTATATTAACAGTTAAATGTGCTTGGAAGTGGTTAATCACATAACACCAGTTTTTGTTTCAGTTTTCACAGTTATTTTGTTATTTATATATATATTTTTAAAAATCTAAATAAACCTCGTTTCATTTTTCACTTTGAGCCTTTGCCACCAATTTGTTGCCTCACAAATCACCTAACATATGCTTCTACCTTGCCAAAATTTTCACTGCAAAATTCAAAAATGTTAAATAGACATTTGCTGTAGGAAAGTGATTCTCAACATACTCAACTTCGTAAGATCCCAATTCTGGATAAGTTAGAAAGGACACTACCAGCCTTGGAAATGGTGCTATGTAGCTTGACGCTCTTAAGTGCAGGTTAGCAATGTGTTTGTCTCTTTTCTGTTGTTCAGTTTGCATTGTTCAGTTTATATATCGTGCATTACAGAGTTAACACATAGGCAGCAGCAACACACGTCCCCACATGCGATTTGCCTCGTGAATGCCCACGTGCCTGTGTGCCTTTGTACTGTTAGTTGCTCACCAGTGAGATGTGGAAATAGAAATGAAGGATGAATTGTGCAATGTATGTTTGGTGTCCGGACAGCCTTCTCACTGAGGATCTGTGATGATGGGGGCAGACAGTGGGGATGTGAGAAACTCAGAAAAACTTAGTGAGAAGGTGGCATTAAACCACAGATAGACAAAAAAAAAAAAAATCCCTCTTTCCTCATTTGGCTCATGCAATTTTTTTTTTAAAGATTTATTTATTTTTATTACAAAGTCAGATATACAGAGAGGAGGAGAGACAGAGAGGAAGATCTTCCGTCCGATGATTCACTCCCCAAGTGAGCACAACGGCTGGTGCTATGCCGATCCGAAGCTGGGAACCAGGAACCTTTTCTTTTCCGGGTGTCCCGCGCAGGTGCAGGGTCCCAAAGCTTTGGGCTGTCCTCGACCGCTTTCCCAGGCCACAGTCAGGGAGCTGGATGGGAAGTGGAGCTGCTAGGATTAGAACCGGCGTCCATATGGGATCCCGGGTGTTCAAGGCAAGGACTTTAGCCACTAGGCCACTGCGCTGGGCCCCAGCTCATGCAATGTTTTAATGAAATGAACGTTATTTTTATTGTTTTGGTTTTTGTTTAATGGTCGTCCTCATTTAATACCTATGTATAGTGGTGTTCGCAGCAACCATTGGTCCTAGTACTTATTATTTTTTAAGATTGAATTTATTTTTATTTGAAAGGCAGAGTTAAGAGAGAAGGAAAGACAGAGAGAGAAGTCTTCCATCTGCTGGTCTACTCCCGAAATGGCTACAACAGCCAAGCTGAGCTGATTTGAATCTAGGAGCTGGGGGCCTCCAGGCCTCCCAACTGGATGCAGAGCTCAAGGACTTGGACCATTTTGCACTGCCTTTCCACACATTAGCAGAGAGCTGGATCAAAAGTGGAATAGCCAGGACACAAACTGATATCCATATGGGATACCAATGCCACAGGCAGAAACTTAGCCTATTATGCCACAGTGCTGGCCCCAGAAATTCTCAAATATATTTAAAAGTAGAGAATAGTATGATTATTTTTTCACATACCCATCATCTAACTTGAAATAATTATGCCTTCATGGCCAGCCCTGTTGACCCCCACCATTCACCCTGGATCCTGCCTGGTACGCGTTGCTGCTCACTGATGGGCATTTCTTGTCCTTTTCAGTCAGCAGAACAGGGAGTCATCATTTCTTTGAACCTTTAGCCTCTTTCCAAGTCATGTCTTTTTAAGTGTAAATAAAGTAATAGTCCACATTTTAAACATGAATGAATGAAAATTAGAGATCATATAGAAACTGACAAGGTAACTTGTTTTTTGTTACTTCATCATGCAGGACTATGCATGATGAAATTTATGCAAGAATATTTTATTTCCTGGAAAGGAAGCCCTGAATTTATGAAAAAAATGACAACATTTATTAATCAATTGATTTTTAAATTTGTACTTACTTGGAAACCATCGACTGGTGTACACCCCAGATACCCACAGTGACTGCGGCTGGGCCAGGCCAAGGCCAAAAAATTGAAATCAATTGGTAACCTTCCTTTTTCTTTCTTTTTTTTTTTAAGATTTATTTAAAAAATTTTTTTTACAGATTTATTTTATTTTTGATGGAAAGTCAGATATACAGAGAGGAGGAGTGACAGAGAGGAAGATCTTCCGTCAGATGATTCACTCCCAAAGTGACTGCAACGGCCAGTGCTATATCCAGGAACCTCTTCCAGGTCTCCCACGTGGTGCAGAGTCCCAAGGCCTTGGGCCATCCTCGACTGTTTTCCCAGGCCACAAGCAGGGAGCTGGATGGGAGGTGGAGCTACCGGGACATGAACTGGTGCCCATATGGGATCCTGGTGCGTTCAAGGCGAGGACTTTAGCTGCTAGGCCATGCCGCCAGGCCCTAAATATTTATTTATTTATTTATTCATTTATTCATTTATTTATTTATTATTGGAAAGGCGGATATACAGAGAGGAGAGACAGAGAGGAAGATCTTCCATCCGATGATTCACTCCCCAAGTGAGCGCAACGGCCGATACTATGCCGATCCGAAGCCAGGAGCCTCTTCTGGGTCTCCCACGCGGGTGCAGGGTCCCAAAGCTTTGGGCCATCCTCGACTGCTCTCCCGGTGTGGTGAGCCGCTGTGAGCCTTGTACTTGACCTGTACTTGACCTGCCTTTGGCTCAAGTCCAGCGAGGCCTTAAGATGGCGCCTGGCGGGAGAGAGCACGTCAGCAGTAGTGACGTTAGTCACGCACCCCTGGCTGAATTGCGCAGACGCCTGCGCAGGCGCAGTAATACAGCACATGGGCAGGCCCGTGATCGGCGCGTGGACTAAGCCCTTGCCCTATCCGTAAGTCTCTCCAGAGGCATGATCAATACATCATCAGAAGGCTGGCCTATGAACAGCCGGTAGGGCGGAGCTGCCTTCTATAATAGTGAGAGCAAAAGGTGGGTCGGGGCTTCCTCTTTCTCAATCTTGGTGTGCACAATAAAGACTGCTGCGGAAGGCTTCAATCGTGTCTGCTCATCACTGCGGGTCGGTGGTCGGTGGGCGCGACAGTTGGTGCCGAAACCCGGGAATTCTTCGGACCCAGAGGAGCCTCCCGTCCTGGACGGGACGAAGTCAGAACCGCAGCCATAAAAAGTAAGGAGCTCTGAGAGGGAGGCGTTACTGGGCTTGAGAAATTTAACCCTGAGATATGGGAGCACAGACTTCCTTGATTAAGCCTTTACAGGCACTTTTGAAAGCACGTAAATTAAAGGTTAGTGAACGTACACTAGAGGGCTTTATCAAAGAAGTAGACCGTCATGCGCCCTGGTATGTGGTTTCCGGATCACTAACTCCGCGGTCCTGGGAGAAACTCGGTAAAGATTTACAGAGGGCTAAGGAGCGTGACCGTTTGAGTCCGGGAGTTATGCCACTATGGAGATTAATTCGTGCATGCTTAGAAGATGACCGGTGCAAAGAAGCTGTGACTCAGGGTCGAGATTGCCTTCAATTAGCCCAAGATAGCCTCTCAGAAACAGAGCGGGGAGAAAGAATTGGTACCAAAGTTAAAGAAAAAGGTGAGAGTCCAGAGAGAGTTAACTCAGAAGAAAAACGTTCCCTTTACCCAACAGCGGAACTAGAGAAACTAAAAGTAGCCTCCTCCTCCTCCTCGGATTCTGAGACGTCAGACACCAAGAGAGGAAGTAAACTAGAAAGAAACAGGCAGAGAAGAAAGAAGGGGGAGAGGGTCACGGCGACGCTTACCCCCCCATCCGTGGCGCCTTTAGTGACCGTCCCTCCGTCTACGGCGCCTTCAGCACCCCCCTGGGTTTTTAATAGCAGCCATTGGTATGCAGCTGCCCATACCGTAGAAAACAGTCGAACCGGTTTGGGTTCCCCAATGGCCGCTATCCTCTGAGAAATGCCAAGCTGCTCAACAATTAGTCCAGGAACAATTACATTTGGGACATTTAGAGCCCTCTGTTTCTCCTTGGAATACTCCTATCTTTGTTATTAAAAAGAAATCAGGGAAGTGGCGGCTTTTGCATGATTTAAGAGCTGTGAATGCACAGATGCAATGTTTTGGTCCCGTTCAACGGGGCCTCCCAGTTTTGTCGTCCCTCCCTAAATATTGGCCGTTATTAGTAATTGATTTAAAGGATTGCTTTTTTTCTATACCATTAGCATTGCAAGATAGGGAGAGGTTTGCTTTTACTATTCCTTCTGTTAATCATGAAGAGCCGGATAAGCGCTATCAATGGAAAGTATTGCCCCAGGGAATGGCTAATAGCCCCACCATGTGCCAACTTTATGTTGCCCAAGTGTTACAGC